AACGGCCTTTGGCCAAAGTCTTACATAGCCAACGGCTGATACAGGACTATAATGGAATAATAATAATAATAATACTGTGGGCTAAGTACCCTCCGCTCGGAGCGACACATTGCCTGCCGGGCGATTGACGACCCACTGCATCGCTTTGTTTCCTCTGGAATATGGATTTGGCGTGATACGGGAATACTTGGACGAGCACGCATGCCTAGATTGACAGACATTCCACAAGTTCCCGGGCAATTTGATGGGCAGAGCAAAGACGACTGCCTCGTAGACGCTCCTAATAAGATAGGATGGATCGTTTTCTGCTCCGCCTTACGTGCCTTTTCTCTGCTAGGATCTTAGGATTGAAGCGTCCACTTAGTGATCGAAGACCGTCAGACATGGCTCCCGACGCATAAACTCTGGGTCCTGGTTCTGGGGCTGCTTGGACGCTACAGTGATCGTGGGGACAAATGGCAGGTGATTTTGAACAAGAGCAACACTCGACTGGACTATGACCAAGACATTGGCGAGGATGAGCGTGACGTGCTGCACGGCAGCATCGGGCCGCTGAGATGTCTGGCCCATGACGAGAGCGGGCATCCAGACTGCCTCTATCTGGCGCCGTACAATCAGCAGCTGAGAGGAAGTCTGGCACCAGATGCGATAAGCTTAGAATATCTCTTCTGGCTTGCTGCAGGGCGCCTGCCGCTTGTGAACAAAGTGCTTGATCTCAGCATGGCTCAGACCCGCTTCCGCAGCAGATTACGAGCAAGGACTCGTCGAAGAAGGTCAACAAGCGGCGAGTCTGAAGATTCAAGAAGCAGTCGCAGCAGTAGTGCATCAACAAATCCTGAGCCTGGGCCTGAGCACACGGACGAGGACGCCGGCGTTGTACAAGTGGGTGAAGAGGCGCAGGAAGCTATCCAAAGACGATGGGAATCGGAGCGGCATGCCTATATGGGACTCAACTTTTACTACCTAGAGCAAATGGAGGACATTCTCCCCACGGCGAAGTGGACCATCTGGGCGAACGCCATGGGCTGCGACATGGAAACTGTGCACACGATTGAGCAGCTGGAGATATTCAATACGAATGACACGCAGGTCATGACGAGCATCCTGGACAGTGTACCGAGCAAGCAGAGGCATGACAGACTAAAGAGGCAACTCGATGATCAGGTCGACATGGCGCAGGAGCGGATTCAGAACACGACCGGACTGTGGATCGCAGCCACTCTGCTCGCATACGATATCAGCGAGCTCAAGTTAGTAACGCACACGAACGCCTATATCCGGCGTGTTGACTTCCAATCCATGGCCCTGGCTGCCTTGTCGGTGCCAGTCACACGGCGGGCATTTCCTGTTCAACTTTAATCGCAGCGTGGGCGTGTTCTCCATGCTCACCGTGGCGGGCTTCAAGCAGCGCAGGTTAGTAGATGCGGTGAAGCGGACGCTGCCATACTGGCACTTGAACAACCCGGCCGCGTTGGAACAACTGCTGTAGGACGCGGAAAACGTGCGGGTGAATGGCGGGCACAGCCGGCGCGACGCTCAAGTGCTGTACCAGCTAGATAGCTACATCAGCACAACATGGCGTGGGAGTAAGGTCGTCGGCCAGTCCGTGTCTCATCAGCCACGAGTTCCGGTCCTTCATCGACGAGCTGGCGGCGAGCAAACAACCTGGAGCCTCAACTTTGGCGCCATCTTCCCTGCGGCCACGCTTCCCACTACTACTCTGCCACACACACACACACACACACCCGCATCGCGCTCAAGGACCTCATGCTCGCTGCGCTACAGGCCTGAGTACGCATCACGTGGGACGCGCAGCCCATGGACGCGCAGCCGCTGATCAGGTTCGTTGACGCACTCAGCGACATGGTGCATGTCGCGGCCGACACACAGCCACCGCGCCGCCGTCGCTTCCGCCAGCACAGTAGCAGCTGTTCCTCAGGGTTCCCCATGGTGCGCAGAGACTCGCCAGAAGAGAGAGACTGCAACGTTCCCCGCGCCGCCGCCGCAGAATGCGCACGCTTCCGCTCGCGCTTCACCTATTACAATATAATAGCTCTACAACTAAACCTAGTAGGCAATACAAGAAGAGAAGAGCTGACTTGGTAGTAGGATAAACATGGTAGAGTGGGGGTTGAACATCCTGAGGTAGTATAGCGGGTATTTTCCTGCTATTTCTAGTCAAGTATAGCTAGGTACTATAGAGGCGCTTATATAGTGTTGTTTTTGGCAGATTGTACACTTTTGCGAGAGTATAGATGGGCTGCCTTCAATTATTACGACAGAGTGCTATAGCAAGACTTATTCTCTCTTCATGGGTAGTCTATGTAGAGCGTTGTTGGCGCGGCATTGTGGTAGTTATGAAGAGCGTCGTGTCAGGTTGGGTGGGGCCTTCAGCTGGCTAGGTTGGGTGGTTACTAATTATGCGGATACAAAATGCATCCGCATACCATGCCGTTTATGGTCAAGCCTTCTGTGGCATCATTCTGCCTCTTATTCGGGGGCAAGCGTGCCTCCAGCATCGGTGCGAGCCTCAGAATTTCCTCATACGATTGATCTCAGACAGGGCGTGTTCTCTGATCGACGCTTCATCAAGGTAGGTTCGAATCGCACTGGGGAGACACCCGAAATCACATGATCGTATCGCGTCCGCCCCGTAACCAACACGAGTTCACAGAAACCATCCTTTGGTGTTTCTCTAGCATGTTCAATGCAGGATGTACAGCGCCGAAGCAACCCTAGAAGCCAACACTCTCGCAGACATGCTCAATCGCAAAAGAATCACCAACGTAAGCACTCTTTTCTTCGACTTGCTCCTGAAAGAGACACAAGCTCCGATAATGATACCAAACAGGCTTGCCATGAATGTCAGCAAAGAAAAAGACGCTGTGATGGAGCAAAGCCTTGTTGTAACCACTGCGCAAAGCACAGTAGACATTGCGTATACACAGCGCGGCGACAACGGGGCCCTGGAAAGAAGTAAGCCGTCGCTGGAGCGCCGAAGAAGCAGATAAGGGACTCATGTTTTCCAGCAAAGAGCTCAGCGCGCACTCTATGCAACAGCGGGTTCACAATGATTTGTCATCTGAACTAGCCTCTGCAGCACAACTCTTCGAGATTGATATACAAAGCAGCTACAACCAAGTACACAGTGGCAGGACCGCTGAAGACTCCGGCGAGGGTGAGTATGTGGGTGACAGTACAGAGTCTCGATATCTGACAAACCTTTCCATAGAACAGACCACTCTGAGATATACTGTCATGGACGATCCGGCTCAAGGTCCATGGGCCACAGACGAGACCACGCAAATACTGCCTGCAGCCGCCAAGAAGTTTGCAGCGTTTGCAGCGTTTGCCGCCGACGTTCACGCGACAATGAACCAAATGCAGGCCCGGGTAGATCTGGGCTGCTCTGAGAGAAAGGTCTTCGCATGCCTTCCTTCTAAACACCGCACTGTGTGTTTACTGCAGCCAGTAATCGAAGAAATCCAGCTCCGTGGTGTCTTCCTCGAAGAAGAAATCCTTCTGCATCAACTTGACGAGCACTACATTGCTGGTCCGGACGACCGCGACCGCCACCCGTGCCGATGGATGACTGTATGCTCACTCCTTGGAATATCTACGCTCCACAGGACAGATAACAGATCTCTCACCGCGATTTCACCTATCGCATGGGCATTCTTTAAGAACGCATTCGCGATGTACGCCGAGCTCATAGCTCGAGGACCTGCGATATCCTCTTGCGAAGCACTACTGGTCATGGCCTTGTTCATGCTACGCACAGCCGACGCCGGCCTCGCTGCACAGCTGACAGCGGCTGCAGCCCACATGGCCCATATGCTTGGTCTGCAAAAGCAGGAATACTATGTTGGTCTCGATGCCGAAGTAGCAGAAAGACACAAACGGATTCTTTGGGCGGTGTACATTTTGAACGCTGATGTGACGCACAGATACGGTATACCCTCACCGCTAGATGAAGAGAGTATTGTCATTGAACTCCCCGAAGTCGAGCACTGTCATGTTTTCAGCCCTGGCGATCACACGGCACGCCTTGCAAGGCAACATCGGGGCGGCATTCTTCGACAACAAGCATTTTTTGCCGTTGCACAGTTGCGGATACACAAGCTGCTCGAACGAGTTTCCTCCAGGCGACTGTCCATGCAGGAGAGCACTGATCTGCTAGAAGCTGTCACAAAGATCCATCAAGAGCTTGAGGAATGGAAATGTTTCTTGCCTACAGAAACCCAACCTAGTTCCAGAGCGTACGGGACTCCACGCCTCGAGATGCCTGTCGCTATATTGCACTACACTTACCTCAGTTGCATTAGCAAGATCAGTATGACAGCGGCGGTCTTATTGGATATGGCAACATTGAATCCGGATATGCAAGAAGTACAGTCTTCCACATCAAACAAAATCTTTGCTACCAGCAGGATGGCTAGAGCTAGGTGCGCGATGGCAGCCCGTGGAACACTTGATGTGCTGCTCCGCTTGCAACCCCAACCCTTCACACACCTCTGGTAGGTTTGCCATAAGTCATGTCTGGTGACCAATCTCTTGAATCTAACCACCTAAAAAGGCAAACGCTGTGCTTCCCACTCTCCGCAATCCTCGTTTTACTGTCGGAAACCCTTGCATATCCAGCATCAGCCCACGCTGAAACCGATGTCGAACTCATTCACGACTTCGTCCAATATTTAGAGCGGCTGAAATCAGAGGGATGCGAAGTACACCGGCTTCTCAACGGCTGTAGAACAATCTGGAGTATTGCAACTTGTGCGCTGATCGCTTCACAAACCGACCAAAAGGTGACGGTTTTTGAACAAACAAGAGAGGTAAGCAATCAAGCTGGGTTCCTTGCCAGTTCTGCAGCGACAAGCTGACACATGGGGAATCCAGTCAATATGTTCAAAGTTCGCGCAAGTCGTAGACTGGCTACAGCTTGCAGAAGGACTATTAAGCAATGTGCCAATGCTGACTAGCAAGGCGCGTAAATTCTTTTGTGACATTCTCGAACTGGGCGAACTGGACGAAAATTACGGCGACTTTGCCCCAGAAATTCTGAAATCTAGCAATTATGGTTTTTTGTTCAGTAATTGAGAGAAACTCTATTAGTTGAGGATGATTCAATTAAGATGGTTGCCGGAAGAAGATATCATGTTCAGTGGCTTTTTTTCTCGTTCGCATACTGTACCATGCACGCTACATCCATACGCATGTAGGGCAGGGCGGTGAACCACCTAGACTTACCATGTAGTTTCCAGCTAGAAGTGCTTGAAGCATCACAATGACAGTACCTGCACATTCTATCTTGTTAAATAGCTAATGAAATAGGAGCACATATATCAGTGAGTGAAGACACTTCAGCAAGTAGTGTTCATCGCTTGTGATGGTATAATACAGACTAGGTTGTCTCCAGAAAGTCACAGGGATGCACCCATTAGCCGTAGCCGATATAGCAAACTGGAACGAGACAACTGATTTAGCATAGTACCTAGCGCTGGACCTACCGCTTGAAAATGCGGTCATCCAGGAATATGTGTGACTAATCCGAAGTTCGGACAAAACTTTCGCAGGATATTTAGTTATACCAAGTGACATATCAAAGAGTGGCCCGGGCTTATTTTTGTCAGCAGAAGATCCTAATGCAGGGTTATCGTAACTAAAGCATGCTACCAAGACCTACTAGTTGAGCTAGAGGTTTCTCCCGCACCTAGGAATGCGGATGTATATCAAGTCGATCAGTCAGCAATTCAAAAGCTGCGACACACAGATTACGAAGCATTCTCCCGCAGCGGACGAACGGACCTTGGACGTGTCTACTTAAATCACGAACTGCAGCGCTCTTATTCGAACAAGCAGATCCTAGAGAGTTTTTGCACGCAGCAATATCGTTTTCAGTCTTCATCATGTCGTTCAACCTTACTGGCATTGCGCACTCAATCTGCACACTTCGCCCATTACTTGTCCTTGCTGAGAAAGGGGTCGAAGATTTCACGCTGCATGCTCCGAACATTGCCGCTGGCGAGCACAAGGTAAACAAACTCCGGTCTTAGCTGTGGATCAACTAATGACGAAATTCAGACCGAGCAGCACAGGAAGAAGCATCCTTTTGGTCAGATTCCAATCCTCGAAGACAACGGCTTCGTGCTGTTTGGTCAGTCCGCTGTGAGCTCCTTCTTTTTCGTCACGGAACTAATGACTTTACAGAGTCACGCGCCATCTCGCGTTTCTTGGCCATAAAGTTTGCTAACCAGGGCACCCCTCTTGTACCTTCCTTCCAGGATGAGAAAGCATGGGCTCTCTTTGAACAGTGGGCTTCTGTCGAGCAAAACAACTTCGACCGGTTCGCCCAGGAGATATTCACCCAGAAGAAGATCCGCCCGTAAGTTGTATACACAAGCAACTCCATGGAAAGCATCACTGAACTTTTTGAAGCATGTTTGGCCAGCCCGTTGACGAGGTAGCTCTCGAGAATGCAAAAAAAACTCTTGCCGAAAAGCTTGACGTATTCGACGGTATCCTTGCTAAGCAGGATTACATGGGCGGCACCAATTTCTCTTTGGTAGACATTTTTTACATGCCGTTGATGTCGAAGTTGTTCGAGGTCAACGAGGGTGATTTGGTTGGAACTCGTCCCAATGTGCAGGCTTGGTGGGACAGAGTCTCTGCAAGGAACTCGTGGAAAAAATTGGCTCAGTGAGCCGTCTGTCGACAAATATGGCATTTGTGCCTCTTGTACAGCTACTCTACCACAATAAATTCCTATCAGAACGTTGTTACCCCGTCAACACATAAAGTCTCCAGTGTTATAGTGTCTAATGATTTGGTGTGTTTGGGGGGAAAGTTTGGCGAACCCCGTCTCTCCACAAGGCCTGAGAATGATCTTGTTTCATCGTGCATAGCAAGAACGCGCAATATCAGCATTCTTTTCCGTGTCCGCAGTGTCTTCTCATGACCTTTTCTTATTGCATGCTATCCATGCTGTATATTGCACTGCAAACCATACATTTGACCTTGCAGCCTGGTCCATTTAAGATCTGGTGTTGCTACACCTGTGTGAAGCACATTATGCTTATTAAGATCATAAATCCATTTACAAAGCGCAAATGTCAGCTGTTCCTACGTTTTTCAAGTTTTCAACCTTCAATTTCGATGATAGGTGACCTAAGTGTAGGACATCTTGTGCTGAGTAATAGCCAGCCTTCGATAAGATGCGCTACCTTTTTGCTGGTAACATCACCGCCTTCTCAATTCAATCGTCCTTCAATTCATTATGTTTCTCTTTGCAATGTTTTGAGGCTGGAGAAGTTGCTGGGAATCCTCTAGTCAACTACCTATGCTTAAGCAAGTCCAGCTAATATTTCCAATCTTCTGAAACAGTCATCTTAGACTCCCTCTGCTCCAGCCTTTCTAATACATGAATTAAACGATCCGTTTCATAACCAGTTCCAATTCGATAGCGTCCAGCAATAGTGATGTCGGGAACAACTTTGACTCCTCTCATAGTTGCCTTGGCAATCTTCTCGTCAACTTCAAGAGCACCTGCGCGTGAATTCAACCAAGCCTTAGCTTCCGATCTCTCGATGCCTGATTCTACGGCTACGCTCATAAGAAAGTCATAGGATGACTGGTCTTGGCCGTCCTCAAAATGACCCTCGAACAGCCTTTTCACAACAGCAAGCTGCATTGTGCTGGATTTCTCGCCAGCAAGATGTATCAAGCGGTGACCATCGTATGTGCTGCCGATCTTGCGGCGATTGTTAAAATTAATGCCTTCGGCGCGACCAAGCGCCTGTTCGCGTGCTAATTTTGCGTCTTTCGCCTCTGGTCCGAACACTGAGGCAATGTAGGTTGAAATATCTATGGAGACCTTGGGTGCGTTTGGTTGAAGAATCATCGGATGCCATTGGACTATGATCGAATCGTTGGGGCATCTATCTTGGTGCGTCTGAATAGCTCTCGTGATACGTTTTAAGGCTACGTAGCACTGCTTTCGGAATTAATATAGGCTCCCAAAGGTGATAGTTCGGTGATTTGCACCACACTTACAAAGGGACATCCTATGTCGATTACGACGTCGATTGTGATCCTAGCCATAATGGCGAAACTGTCTGGCTATACAAGAAGCCGGACTCCCGAGATATGTAAAAAATATATGAAATTACGGGAACTCTGTTTGAGATGTTGCTGTATCAAAATGACATCAATGTAGCGGCACTTTAATACGGAAGCGCCGTTGGACTTTAGCGAACTAAGGCTGGTCCTTGTCCAAAGGGGGCGGCCGATGTGATGCGGATGCAGATGTGGATACAGATGCGGATGCGGATGCGGATGCAAATGTGGATGCGGATGCAAATGTGGATGCGGATGCGGATGCGGATGCAGATGTGGATGCTTTAAATCGCGCAGCTTACTTACTAAAGCTCTAGCTCTCCCATAACTGGCTGAAAACATAGACAGGATTGCGAGTCCTAGGCCGATCTTGTTTCGAAACAAAACCACACATCCGAGCAGAATAATCCTCATGCTTGATAGTTGCTAGGTTTCTACCATTCAAGTCCTTTGTAATCACTCAACACAAGCTAAGGGGGCCCTCTGTTACAGGTCTGTGAATTCAGACTGAGCTAGCGACCCTTCTTTAGAATGCCACAAGCATACCCCGTGAGGGACCAGTGAGCGAGCTGAATGTAGGAACCTGTGTTTCTGAAGGAGCAGCTATGCGATTGAAAGGAAATGTCGACTTCGAGGGGAGCAGTTATCAATCAAGGCCTTAGCGGAAACCCGCGATGTCTTGACATCTGCGTATCACTAAGACCTCACGGATACCCTAACACTTTCGAGGGTTTACTCCTAGTTAGACAAAGCATCTTTCTCAATGGAACCGGCGTGAATACATAACCACTCGGATACTTGAAGGCCTTTTTTTACGGTCGGTATCGTATTATAGAGATGAGTGGTGAGTTCGTGTCCGCCTTATATTGGCCGCACGTTTTCTGCTTTAGTATAAATGTCGTAGAAGATCAAGACACCAATAACATCGCAACTGTCAGATACTCGAACATCGCTTCGAAATTTTTAGCAAAGTGAACGCCCCCAATACATTACGATGCCTGCTTTGAGCGTCAGTCTCCTTTGCTCTGTTCTCACAACAATCGTGACCGCAGAATCTAATACGGAGCTTACTTTTGCATATCATTTTGATCTTACGGTTGCTGAACGCGGAAGTCCCTGTCTTTTCACTGGCAAGATAGACCCCAGCGCGGTAATCAATCAGTTATCAGAATGTTCTTCCATCACCATCCACGCCGTCACTATTCCGCCTGACGTTACCTTTAATCTCTCTAGACCCGCCGATGGGATCTCTGTTAATTTCCGGGGGGTCTCGACCTAGGGCGTTCCAAAAGGATTTGGTGGCCCTCTTCTCAGCATCAGTGGCAAAGATAGTCTCGTCACCGGTGAAGCAAGCGCCATGCTCGTCGGCCAAGGAAAGATTTACTAGAACGGGAAAGTCAGCAGTAAAACCGTCTCAGCCAAGCTAAAATCCTTGGCTGGCCACAATCTCGCTGGTAAGTAATCAAGCAACCATCTCTACCTTGAGAACACCCCCATCCAAGCTGTAAGCATCAACGACTGCGAAAGTTTCACAGTTAGTTACATGATTATCCACAATTCAGATAGTGACAGTTTGCCTCCCAATCAGACCGCCCACAACACTGACAGCTTTGACGTTGGTGCGAGTTCGAACATTCTCATTGACCATGCCACCGTGCATAACCAGGACAATTGCGCAGCAATCAACTCTGGAACAACATATCCCCTCTTGAAGTCGCTGTATTTCAATCGTACAAACAGCTCCATCGAAACGCTATCGAAATAGCGACACGGGAAGGCTGTATTGATTGTGACAAAGTCGAATTTCTAAATGGGCTGCATCGCGTACGCTAACAAGCCTTCAAACGATCGACGATCTGTACAGCCTGGGATCTGGCAGGAATCTAGCCTCTACTATCTAGAGTATCGTGACATATTATAAGGCTATTATACTAGATAATATCTATAGAGAGTTTTAAGATACTAGGCTTATCCTATATAATTATTATATTATTTTATTATAGCTTAACGTCGTATTACGTACGCTAGCTCTACTAGCGTAAGAGACTACTACTTAGGAGCTAAAAACGCTGCGTAACGCGTGTAAAATAGAGGCGGAAGCTATACTTATTTAAAACTATATATAAATCTAGTAAAGGTCTTTTATAACTTCTCTTAAGGAGTAGATATATTAGTTAAGTAAGAGAGCTTAATAGATAGCTTATAATATAGTGCTTATACACGAGAAACTTAATCGCTTTAAAACTATAATTAGTAAAGTAATAAAGTGAAAAACTTATAAGAGGTGCTATATATAGCTAGGGAGATCCTAGATAGTTAGTAAGATAGGTAATTAAGTAGCTAAGGTAGAGGGTAATAGCTATAATAAGGGTATAACGCCTACAAAGAGAGTACGTAGTAAATAGCACTACAGACGTCATAGCTAAGTTAGATATAATTCCCGTATATGCTAAGTAGAATTAAAGGATACAGAGGATAGCGACGCATCTAAAGAATAGCATTTTATTCTACTTGATAAGAAAAATTGTAGTGGTGTTGCGCAATTCTATTATGAAGGTGTAACAGTATAGAGAGGTGGCCCACTCGGTGGTGAAACACGTTACCATTAGTTACCTTCCCAGGCAGTGAAGGGACCGGCTTTGGATGAGATTGGTTTGGGCAGGCTGACCAAGTTGAACATCTTATCAATCTACAGTTTTTGCGGCTCGACATGGGTGGACCGTCTCCGGGAGCACTCAGTGGACAGCTATCGAACCTCAAATATGATAAACTCATCATAGATTCGTAATAACTAAGATGCCAAGTAAGACGGGACTTGCTTGGCGTGTTCTAGCTAGCCTAATAAAGGCTACAGTTGTTGCATATTCACGTTGGGCTGAAATTCAATCAATTATTCACTGCAGCGAGAATACATTGCCAAAGACTCAAGAGTAGCCTCCTACAAGAAAGCCGCATGCAGAAATACGTACTGGGAATTAGCGATAGGGACTGCCCACTAGCTAAACACAGAAGTTACAACTTCATTTCCCATGTCTTTGCATGTTTTGCATCGATTAAGCACACATGCGAAGCCTTTGATGCTTTTCGTGGTCGTCCTACATGGCATTGAGCTCAAAGTGCTCGTCGCTGTCATAATCGATGGAAGTTCTTTCTGGCTATGGAAGAATTTATGTGTGTAGACGGACGGTATCTTGTTTACTTCCTAACAAGCGAACACACCGCTAGTCATACACAGGCCCCTGCTATCCATCGCCGCCAATACCCCTAGTAATACACACCCCGCCCCTGAAGCTTGTAAGCTTCTTGCCTTCGTGCGACTTCATGGTGGAATATCCTCTTTCGTGATCACCCTCAGCCAGCACTCTCTAACACGAGGTATAGTAAGGGTGTGGCTGGGTTCGTATGGACCGAGGTTAGGGGTAGGGTAGGGTCACATTACCTGTGGATAGAATTATGATAGAGACAAGGTCTTATTAAGCCTACCCTTACTGTATCTTTATCTATTCACCAGCTTGGTGAGGAAAAGGAGTTGCGACGGGAAGTACAGGGCCTTGCACCTTCTATCTACAGGAGTACCAAAGCCTCAGGCCCCGTGTTCTCTTCGTGCATACTAATTCAACCCCATTAATATAGAGCGGGCCTTTTGCGATTCGTCCACTCGGACTCTGGGTGCATGGAACTAGCTGCATTTAACCTAGCATGTTGGATACCCGTTCGCATTGGCAGACTGTGATTGGCGCGCTAGCAAGTAGCCGCACCAGTTCTGAGAGAGCCTGGTACTTGGGCAGGCCTTATTTTACCACTTTGTCGTGGTGTAAATGAAGTCCCTGCATGTGTAGGCCACATACATCTGCGTGTAGGCCACCTGCATTTGCGTGAAGGCCACCCACTAGTCCTTTCATTCACGACATCGAGACCCTTGGTATTCGGTGACATACCTTCTTCTGAGCCTTGGCTTCGTAGAACTCATATACACACACTGGTTCAAGGAATATTCAATATGGGGGCCGTGTCTGCAAATATGGTTTGCCCAGCCTGGCAGCGTTGTTTGAATTCATAAATCCCCAGGATAACGAGCACTGAGCTAATTATAGCCACTATCTATACCTCTTTAGATTGCCATCTAGATCGCACGCCTAAACGATAGCTGTGATAGAGCCGGGGACGTATCCTGGTTGGCACAGAGGATGTTTACAACCTCACGGTTGATGTTTGCGCAGGATACAGTCACAGACATGGTGTAGATTGGACTTCTTCAAGACTACGGTATAGAGCTAAATTAAGGATACGGGCCAGAACACCATACACATCTGCGCCGAGTCCACGATGCACTCATGCACATCTGCATTGGCTCACGACTAACCCTTGTACTCTGTAGACATCTGAACTCCTAATTGTTGCAGGCTTCAAAGATGCTCTCTGTATATAAAAAGAGCTTCTTGCGCACTCACTTTGACTATCCACTCATCTCTACAGCCAGCAACTTCATCAGCTAGCCTCATTTGCAATCCCGCAAACTCCAGCACCATGCGATCCTTCTCTTCTATCCTCCTGGCACTTGCTACGGCAACCAGTGTCCTGGCTCTTCCAGACACCCAAGAACAGCCTCAGATCCCAGATCTCCCCAACGGTTTCTTTGGGGGCTACAACAACCCGGATGGAACTTCTACACTCCACTTCCTCGACACGAATGAGAACATCACCTTTACACCTACACCTGCTCCTAGTGTTCCGAGCCGTGCCAAGCGCGCAGAGGAGTACGGCTGCTGGGCAGGCACCCTGAACCGAGCCGGAACCGACAGGGCCATGAACCTCATGCGAGAGCGATTGAGCCACACACCCATCGGCGTTGGACAGTTGAACGATTGGCCTGCGTACTTCGGATACAATGAGAACGGAGTTTACGTGTACGCCTGCGAAAACTCTGGTGGAGCTGGAAACTACTTTTACTTTGAGCGCTCGCACCTGGACCGTATGTCGAAGATGATGGATGATCGGTGCGGCGCGTATGTCCCGGGATACATGATGGATTGGTGGTGGCTTCCTACCCACCGGGAATTGTTCGGCAAGGCTTTCAGTGGCACTGCAGTATGCCAAGGAAACTGGAGGGCCCGTCCTTAGTGTGCAGAATATCATATTGGGTCAATTGTGATACCGGTGGTATAGCTACGCTTGGAGGTAGTGGTTATGCTCGATCTGGTTAGGATAGTGGTGTTGTAGCATAGTGGCTTTTCGGCCTAATACGAGAATGATCATCATCGAAACAGGACGTACTTGCATGAATATTTGAAAAGAAGAACTATGAATGTCTGCTTCATGATATTCGATCTGCCTACTCGAATGGATCCCCTGTTACCCAAGTTCTATTTGAATCTAAACGGTGTTTTTGGCCTGCAGGAGGATTCCCATCGCTCGATTTACCAAAAAAAAACTGACCTCCAATGAAATTATGATGGCCATCATCGCCAGCTGCTACGAATCGAGGGTGACCCAGGCGCTGGCAAAATAACCTTTCTCTGCGAGATCAATTCCGAGTGGAGACTGAAGCTTGCAAAATCAGGGGCAATATCGAATGTAGAGCTGGAAGATAAAAACACCAACATCAAAACATCTTCTGTCTACCTGATTTACAATTTCAACCCCTTCTAGCACCTCCTCCTCCCCTTCCTCCCCAACCCCATCATACTCGTCCTGAGAAATAGGATCGAAAGAATCACACCGCATAGCTTCCTTTTCTGTCCGCCAACCCGCACCTTGGTATATGAATAAGAGACCGTGGTAGAATTCGAAGGAGGTATTGTCGATGTAACTCGGTACAAAACCAGGTAAGCCCGTCGGGCTAGATCCAGGCGTCCGGGATGCGAGTTGGGCAGTGTAGTCGCCTCGATGTTGTTTTTCGGCGCGGTAGTGCGAGATACAAGTTTCATCGGAGGTAGGGGCGGAGGGGGTGGATAGGAAAGAGAATTCTAGACGGAAGGGGCAGGGGTAGTGTTGGAGGGGGGTGCCGCGTCTGATGGCGGTGAAGAGGTCGAGTGGGTGGATGGTGGTGGTGTTTGCGGTTTTGTGGGTGAAGTAGAGGGAGAAGGTGTAGAGAGGTGGGAGGGGACATGATTCTCTGCCTTCGAAGAGGAGTAAGGATTGGGTGTTGCTGTGGTCGGTGAAGGGCAGGATGTGGGGTTTTATGCGGTAGATGCGGTTGCGTGTGCGTGTGCCTTCTCTGCCTGTGACGCTGGAATCATCGCCATGAGTTGTCATTGTGGGCTTGAGGGGGATGGAGATGGCATCTAGGGTTGCGGTTTGGAGTGAGAAGAAGTGACGTTGATGTAAATAGGCACGTGCCGACTACTAGGCTGCTATGGTACTACTAACAACGTCAAAAGATGGAATGTTGGCAAGTGGGTAGAGATTTGGTATAACATGAGCCCAACTCTACCTCATCGAATTCAGTCTCACTTCACCTTGCCCAACGCCCGTTCGAGCACTCCTATATTCCCACAATACCTCGGAGTAGTGAGGGATATGGGGTACCCATCTACCAGCCTTTACCCTACAATGCTACTCCAACGCACCGAGTGTCACTTATACACTAATCAGCTTGTTGTAGGAGATAAATTATCAGGTACTAATGTAAGACTGATATATCCTAAAATGGAAAATGATCACGGGTTTTACTATGGCTCGTAACGAAGATATTAATATGTCGTGGTGGATAGCTTAGTAACATGGATTAGTATATCCACTTGTCCAAGCGGTTAACGTAGTGACGGAAACAGGATTTTCTTTTCCTCAAAGGAAAGTATAGTTTCCACTATTTCCGTTACCTCATTGGTCCTACCTTCCTTTCCCTTATCTATTTTCTACATTCTTGCATGATCTCAGCGACGACGCAGGACATCATGCCTGTATATACAATTCCAATTTTTGGCGTCGCTGGGTGTATCCTGTTGGAGAAATGCAGGGGTAAGCTGTCTTACTTTATGTTTAATAGTTGGGGCTGAGGCGTAGTGCGGGCATTGTCATGTTTCGTGTATGTAGCATGTTGCGCAGCTTGCCGAGCGTGGCTCGTGGGCAGGTGCGCGCCACTGCATCAAGTCCGCGCACACGTGGGGATTTTCGGCGCCGGAACGAAAGCCATGTGCGCAATGGCATATCTTATGGGTGTATTTTTAGGTGGCGCGGTGTTCGGACATGATGCGTTCGCTAAGGTATGTCTTGCAGGATGAGTAGGGTAATGGGTTGATGGAGGGCAAACTGATGGCCCTGGTCCTTACAGCTGCCAATAACTTCACACTTGACATTTCAAACAATGACAACCTTGGCGTTGGCATGTGCTCAGTTTGATTGGAGACATATAGTCCAGTAAGCCAAGTGTGCTAACACGCGGTGATGAGGTCTATCCAAACATACCTCTCGGTCTATTACGGACGTAAGTAGCGCTAGCTTTTGCGACGATGCCCTGAATGTCTCAATCCAGAGGAGACTCTTTGAACCCACCATGATCATGCATCAACTGGTACCGTTGTTTTACCTGAATGAAAATACAACATCTGTCATGGGCTGCTCGATCCCGATATCGCAATGATCAAAGTCCGATGCGCAAAGTCCGACAAGCACTACACGGTGACTGGAGGCTTACGCCCAGTCTGAACGCTAGACACAAGATGTGAGAAGCTAGTATTGGTAACATGGTGCAGATTGGCAGTCGGAGTCTGTACACTGCACGCAAACATACTCAAGCCCTTGGGTTGTGTGTGCCAATGCAAGTATGGCCGAGCCGTTATCTTTTGCGATAACAAGGAGACGGGAATGCTCAGCTGGAAGCGGAGGCTGAAATGAGTCCAAGAAGTCTACGTCGCAGTACTCGTCAGCGTCGATTGCTTGTCGTCTGCGGAGTGCGGTGGGAGGTGGCTTTCGTATCGTCTCTTTATAATTTGGCCGCCGTCACATAAACGTGATATCAGGACCTTACCGGGTGTAAACTCAGCAATCACTATCTTGCTTGTTTTCCGTCTTTCGCTTTTTCTTACACTACAATCATGTACATATCTCCTGCGATGCTTACTAGTAAGTTCTTTGTTTGGTTATGTCTTTTGATCGTCGGATCTCCGTTCATCCTTTGGTTTCGTGGATCAGCGGAAGGTTTCTCGGTTCCATACCCACGACCACCATCCCGACCAGTCCCGCAGTTTTTCGCTCATGGTGCCTCGAAATGTCTGCCAGAGATACCGCCTGAGTTCATTCGAGCAGCAACGGTTAAGCGCGCAAAGTGCCGAAAGTATTCACCCTTCGCCAGTGCGAGATCACGCATCGGAATTGTTACTGCGCATTTTGGTGAAGCCAGGGAACATTATCAAATGGCGTTTCAAACACATTTGTTCCACTCTTTGGTCCATGGAACAGAAGTCAGGGTCATGTGCGACCCTATTGTCGACGATCTGTGGAACAAGCCAGCCTACATCTTGGACCTTCTCTTTCGCGAGATGATGAAACCAGAGAAGGAACGTCTTGAATGGGTTCAATGGGTGGACCGCGATACTCTCATTCTCGACCAATGCAGACCCATCTCGAGCTTCCTTCCACCCGAGAAGGGACGCTACGGTTTGTGGTGGGTTCGTGACGACGAACCAAATGAGGAGCGAAAACCCCAAGCAAATACGACACACTTACTCGTAACCGAAGACTGGAACGGTCTCAACAATGGGGTGTTCCTCCTTCGCGTAAACCGTTGGGCGATCGAACTCTTCACCGCTATCCTTGCTTTCCGGCACTACAGGCCTGAGGTCGACCTCCCATTTACCGAGCAATCCGCCATGGAGCAGGTTCTTCGTACAGAACAGTTTAGGGGTCAAACAAGATATGTACCCCAGCATTGGTTTAATGCATACGAAGGGGGTGCAGCACAAATGTTTGAGGAGCGAAAGGATGAGGAGGGGTTAAAGCAGTTCCAGGCCAGGAGAGGCGATTATTTGGTGCATTTTGCGGGGCACAGCAGGAAGGATGAAGCGATACGAGAGTGGACGAGCATGCTGGATCAGAGCGGAGACGTCTGGGAGGAGAATAGGGTTCAGAGAGACGTGTCACAAGAGATTGAGACCTTCTGGAAAGGCTTAGGGTACGGAGGGTAGGGCTGGGTCCATGCGTAGCAATGTCATTGTGTTTGATAGATAGCAAGAGAATTTTTGTAATTTCCCAACCATGTTTTTGTTAGTCAAGTGCACTCGCAGATGCATCAAGGATGAAGATGTTGATAGGTGGGCGATTTCTCCGTGGGCAGCAAGATGGCTCCAATTTGGTTTCAGGCACCAAAGCTTATACAGCTTCTGGAAGAATAGAAGGCCTACGATTGGGACCGATCTCCCCTCGCAGCTACGCTACTGCAAGGCGCAGGTACTGACAAAGGGCTACGGTTGGTCCTTCAAATGGCAATTGATCCGGTATCACGGCAGTCGCCTCTCTGGCGCAGGCCAAACCCGACTTGTGGCGAGCGTCGGGATAAGTATAGAAATCAGGTAGCTTTACCGATGATGGATTGGAGGTGGTGTTAGCGTGGTGCACTGGAGGCCTAAGGGTTCTCGTTGCACACGATGAATTTCGAAAGCATGGGGACTGTGCTGACGTCAGACATGTGAATAGGGTAATGCAGTCCAGTCGAGTGCAGTCATATGCAATCGACTAGGGTAATTTTTTCTCTTCAATTGTGTGTGGGAGCCGAGGATGCGGAGAGGAATAGTAGGGAATGTCACTGGTAGTGGTATCCGAGGAATGCCATGTGGTAGTAGACTTGTTTAGCGAGAAGCATGTGAGAGAATGAAGCGGGAGGGCGCAATATAAGTGGAACTGCGTTATTATCTGATGGCAACACGAATCGCGGGCGATGTTGAGCATGGAGCCTGTCGTGTTTTGGAGGGGGTGATTGGGGTAGCAGAGGTCTGGCGCTCTGTTCATGCGATTTCACTAGCCCATACACAAAAGCTGTTCAGCTTGGTGGCGCCAGGCTAGTTCCGCTTACGGCCGCGGGCCGTCTTCAGGCGACAGATGGCAGTGCCGTCTGAACCGTGAACCTCGTCGTCACAGCTAGACGCCGTCGCCAAAGCTTCCCCCAACGTCTGCCGCCCGAGTCAAGGATACACGCCACCAGATAAACACGGGGGTGGGATGGCTTCACCCCATACATACATACTACACTTCCGCATCCTCGACTGCTTTTGACCACACCTGGGCCCTGGATTGTCTTTTCAAGGATCCACCGAAGCAGTGCCGCATGAACCACCGAAGAAGCACCACCATCATCACCACCAGCATTGCACCCTCGATTTTGTATTTGACTTTGCTCCTCGTGGGCTATCCAGTTACTTTGTATTTAGGGCTAACCGCTCCCCCGCCGCCAGCTGCTGTTGGAGACCTCAGTTTTGGGTCGAGGCTGTCGGACAAGCGCCACTGACGGTCCCATTGGTGCCAACGGTGAACATCCGCTTTGGACTCGGGCCCCTCGTGCAGATCATCCCAAGCACACATCTCTACCGAATTTGGCCCTTGCAACTCGTTCGGTGCTTTAGCACATGGCTTTTTGGGTCCGGGGGGACTTCTTTCTCTAAGCGATCCCTTGCCAACTGCATCCATCCGTCCGTCTCTTCGACTCAGGACACCGCGCCCACTCCCCCAGACTTCGAGAGCGACAAACCCACTCCGATACCCTACCCCAGAGCGACACTTCCCCAGGCAACTTCCGAGAGCACCCTCAACCCTATTTCCTGATCATCGCAGAGAATCCCATGTCAACGAGTAGCGCTGATTGCATGCTGAGTCCATATACGGGTCAAGAGATAGCGCACAGCTTGCTGACCTAGACCTTGGTGCACCACCCACGGCTGACGTTTCCAACACCTCGTGGCGACTTTCGCCACCCAGTTTTTAATTTACTACAACATCTGCAGTATATACATAGCAGACATACCCACTCGTTCCCATCCACCCAAGACAAGCGCCCAGAGCGATTTGCGCCGTGCGGCTAGCCCTACGCACTCCCCCGGCTCAGACTGCAGCGCCCGCGACAACTTCGGCGCTTTGGCGACGCCATCTCGCACCCCATGTCGCGATCCATTCTCCAGCCAGAGGCGGGAATATTCTACGGCATATGCTGGCTCGTCGTCATTGTCCGCTTGATTTCGCGAAGGCTGCATCTGGGATCATGGAAGTCTTTGCAACTCGACGACTATTTGATTCTGGTTGCCATGGTTTGTCACCCGCGCTCCTGAGCTGAGCAACTAGAGATGCTGAACTACAACCAGGCCACGGATACGGTGCTCATCAGCATCATGCACCAGGTCGCCAAAACCAGCAGCAACCTAATACCGCCTGGTGACGACATCTCGCAGTATACTCAAGCCGAGATCAACACTCGTATTTATGGCTCCAAGCTAGTCTTGGTAGTGGAACAGATGCAGATCCTCACAATCTGGCTCATCAAAGCCTGCCTCCTCATCATGTACAATCGTATGACTCTGGTCTTGCCGCAACACAAGATTGTTGTTGCCACTTCCGTCTATGTTGGCGTGTCGTTTGTTGTCATGGAGGTGTTGTACCTTGGTGTGTGGTGCAGGCCGTTCAACCAGTACTGGGCAGTCCCTCCAAGCTCAAGTAAGCATATTGCAGGCAACTCTGTTGTATGGCGCTTATTATTATAGAACAATGCTCCGCCGCAACGAACCACCTCATCACGAATGCCGTGTTCAATATTTCCAGCGATTTGATCATCATCAGCATACCCATGCCGCTTTTGTTCAAAGTGCGCTTGCCAAAGAAGAACAAGATCATCTTGGGCCTAATCTTTTGCATTGGAACTTTTACCATTGTCGCTGCTGCCCTCAACAAGTACTACTCCTTCACACATCCTTTTGGAAACGAGTGGACAATCTGGTATTTGCGAGAGTCGTACACTGCCATTCTCTGTGCAAATCTTCCACTGACCTACCCACTTATCCAACGCGTCTTTGGCCTTCGCAACTGGAGCTCCAACACGTACGATTCCTCGAATGCTTATGGTCGCTCCACCACCCAGCCACAGCCACCCTCGGTACGACGTCCCGACGCGTCTTGGTCTGAACCGACGCCACAACAGATACCTCGAGGGTTCAGGGACATTTTCCGGAAGACTGAGAGCCAAGAGGATATAAATGGTGGCTTGGGCAAGCAAAAAGAAGAACGCGACCCGGAGTTCATCACAAGCGCCATTGAGATGGAGGACGCGCAGTCACATCGGGCGTCCAGCATGAGCGGCCCAGGGAGCTGGCGGACCTCTCGCAGCATGGAGGACCGAAATAAGAGCCCCGAAACATTTCACCATGTATGAATGATGCCATGACCTTATTAACAAAAATTATTCTTATTTACATACACTCTTTGCCAAGTTTCGTGTTGACCCCAATTGCAGCAGGACCGCAAACAAGCCAAGAATTCGATACTCACCTGGAGGAGTAAAGATCTCCCCGGCCTGTTACTTGGTGGTCTCGTGTCTTCGTCGTTGCGTCGTGCTTGTCCTTGGAGCACCGTGATGGACGTGCCTGATGGGGAGCCCTAGCCATCACGGTACATAGGTACTCACGCGATACATGAGCTCGGAGAGCTCTTTAATAATCTACAGAACCTCTTCATCAACAATACTTCTTCCAATCATTGGATTGCTGGAAACCTATAGGTCGCAATACCATGCATATCCACGACGTTCTGATTGTCGGCGCTGGCCCAGCTGGTCTAGCAGCTGCAGCACGTCTCCGCGAACATACACCATCCGCGACCTTTACCGATGATGAACATCAGAGATACCATTGGATAAAGAAGCACGGTCGAAAGATGAACATCAAGAACTATCGGAAGAACAAGGACTCGTTGCCAACGCCGCCTTCAACACCATCGAATTCTGACTGTGGATGCGAGCATCAGGAATCGTCAGAAGAAGCAATAGACATGCTAGTTCTCGATGCTGATGGAGCAGACTGGATGTCCAAGTGGAAGCGACTCTTTAAAACATTCCACATCGACTACCTTCGCAGCCCAATGTTCTTCCACGTCGATCCCGCTGACCGAGACGGGCTGCTCGCATACACATACGAACAAGAAAGGGACAAGGACATCATGGCTCTCCCCAATATTGCGGGCAAAGAAGTCAGCAAGCATAAGAAAAAGAAGAAGCTTAAGCAAGGAAGGTTTCTTGGTGGGACACCAGATGTGGACGAGAGGGATCGAAAAGACTACTTTACGCCAAAGACGGATTTGTTCCATGCACACTGCAGCGAGGTGGTGCGGCGGTATCGCCTTGGCAGCGATATGATCCGTCAAGAAAGCGTGACGGATATCGAATACGGAGAGATAGCAAAGTTTGCGGATACTGAACACGATAGTGTTATATCGGATGATGGTTCGGAAGACGACCGAATGATATTCCGCGTGGTAACTGGCAAAGGCGTCCGCTTCGCTCACGTAGTCATTCTTGCCATTGGCCCTGGGAACGCCCCATCGCTACCCCCTGTGCCCGGCCTACCCAGTGAACGCCCACACGAAGGTTTCTCTCACGCCATGCAGATCAAGCAGTTCCCTGCGCCACATGTCGCCGCCAAGATCCAGGCTCGGCAAAACACCAGCCTGCTTATCATTGGGGGCGGCCTAACGAGCATTCAGCTAGCCGACCTCGCCCTCAAGCGAGGTGTAAATAAAGTTTGGATGCTGATGCGTGGACCGCTCAAGGTAAAGTACTTTGACATGGACCTGGACTGGGTCGGCAAATTCCGGAACTTCAACCAAGCTGCGTTTTGGACTGCGGACACAGACGAAGGTACGCTTCCGACACCACATTGTGTGAAAGTTTGTGAGACTAACATGTCTCCTTTTTTTCTTTTTTCTTAGAACGATGGGAAATGATCATGGTTGCTCGAAACGGCGGCAGCATGACACCCCGGTACCGCCGGATTCTCGACACGCACATTGCTAATGGTAAGATTGCTCTACACACGCATACAACACTCGCATCGATATCTTGGGACCCTTGTTTCAAGACTTGGTCGTGCGAGACGTCGTCGTCGCAAGTTAGTCTTCCACCAGTTGACTACATTGTGTTTGCTACGGGCATTCAGTCGGATATCCGCACCATACCTTTCCTGCAGACGATCCAGAAACAGCATCCTATCAAGTACGTTGGCGGCCTGCCCTGTTTAACTGAGGACATGATGTGGAACGATGACGTACCGCTCTTTGTTACGGGGCGACTTGCTGGACTGCGCCTAGGGCCTGGTGCGCCGAATTTGGTCGGGGCCAGAATTGGCGCAGAGAGGATCGCGTGGAATGTCGAGGATGTTTTGAAGGGATTGGGCAGGTCGCGACGTGATGTGCGGGATCAGAGCGATAGTGAGGATGGGGACGAGGACTTGGAGTCATATGCTGCGGCTAGGGATAATCGGTTTAGTAGTTTAGTTGCGATGGATGAGTGATGCATGGGCTTTGGTTAGTCGTAATTGCACTACATAGTTTCCAGCTCGAAAAAGCGCTCTGTATGAGTCGCATTCCAGGATTGCAAACGAAGAGAAGACATATTTGACGTTGAACCATTCAGGTAAGCGTTGGTGCTTCTGGAAACCTCCCAAATCGAGAAACGACTTGCGATAATCCAATTATCGCGCGTCGGGAAATATCGCTTTGGTATTGCCGCTGCCCGCTGCGTCATCCGAATTCCCGTCGATTCGGCTAAGCGCAAGGCCCAATCGGTTGCCCGGATTTCCCTTTCCCTTTCCCTTGGCCTTGCATTTCTTTCCTAACCCGCAAAACCCATCACCCGCGCAGATTCATCTAATTAGACAAGAAAGAAAAAAACGCCCAAAAAAATACCACTCCCTCCAACCAACCAACCAACCAACACAAATGGTCTCCGGCGGCAATGCAAGTCTCATCCTCTATTGGCTGCAACACGCCTCAAGCAAGTTGACTTGGACTAACTTTTTCGCTTCGAAAACCAGGACGACAATATACCAGCGGTAGTTTCGCTCGCAGCCGGTGGTATTGCTGGCGGTGTCGAAGGCTTTCTCTCGGTAAATAACAACCCCCCCCCCCCAAAAAAAACTGTGTTTTTTTAAACTTCCGAAATGGCCCCGTGACTTACATTGTGTGCTCTTTTTTTCTTCCGTCCTTATAGTATCCGCTCGAATTCGCAAAGACAAGAGTGCAGTTGAGGGCTGAGAAGGGGGTGCCGACGCCCAGGAACCCGTTTTTGGTCATTACACAGATATATCGGAATGAGGGTATAAGGGCGCTGTACAAGGGGTGTGGAGCGCTGGTGTTTGTAAGTTTGGTTTCTCTTCTTCTTTCTTTTTATTGGCTTAATGCATCGAGTATGATGCAATTGCTGGTTTTAATTAACCCTATGTCTTCTTTCTATATGGACGACAAGGCGTGTGGTTACAAACTCCCCGCATACGTTATCACCAAGACCAACATAACCCCAGGGCTCCGTCGGAAAAGATGGCGTCCGCTTCCTCTTCTTCGACCAAATCAAGGCATCCTTCGCGGATCCGGAAACCGGTAATCTTTCTCCCGTGCGCAACCTCCTCGCCGGCATGGCCGCCGGCGTTGTCGCATCCATAACCGCAGTGACACCAACGGAGCGCATCAAAACCGCCCTGATAGACGACGCCAGGACCGAAAAGCGCTTCCGCTCCGGTCTGCATGCCACCGCGACCATCTGGAAAGAGCACGGAATTCTAGGTCTCTACCGCGGATTCGCTGGTACCACGCTCAAACAGGCCTCCGCGACGGCGTTCCGACTAGGGACGTATAACATCCTCAAAGACTACGAGAAAAAGAAAAACATCGAGCAAAATACTGCTGTCAACTTTGCAAACGGCTCCGTAGCCGGTGTCGTGACTACGCTTTCCACACAGCCCTTTGACGTCATCAAGACGCGGTCGCAGAGCGCAAAGGGAACGAGTACCGCCGAAGCCGTCAAGAGCGTTCTCCTCGACTATGGCGTCCGTGGATTCTGGAAGGGCACAACGATGAGGCTCGGTCGAACTGTGTTTAGCGGCGGAATATTATTCACAAGCTACGAAGCCGCCGTCAAAATCATTCTGCCGTTGTATCCCGGCGCACGACAAGTCCAGACTGCATAAGATATGAATCTTACCTACACACCTAATCTACTTTCTTAGAACCCAAAGACCAAGAAAATAAAGAAAATCCATAAAGCGTTTTTTGTTTTTGCTACATGCTATGTACTTACAAGGAAGTTACTTGATTCTAAGCCTTTACAGCCCTCGCATCATACTCATCGATAACGCTAATAGGCTTCACAAACCTGCCGAGGGGCTTATATTCTAAATGTCCCAGGCCAAACGCCTGGGGTCCTCCAATTTCAATTCCGCGCTCGCTGGTCCACCGCTCACTCGCCGTGACCGCAATCACAGAAACAAGGAGTCCATAGCGGTACTCGGGGGTGCCAATTGCCTCGCCATTCTGCGCATCAATGACGGCAATAAGATCCGGTACAATGGCGAGCACATCTTCGTTTCGCTCCTCGCCCGTCGCGCGGTCCCCCGTCTCGGGGATGCGGAGAGCGGCGATGTTCTCGTTTTTAAAGGGGATCTTGATGGTGCTGCCGAGGAAGTCGGGGGTTGTGCCTTGAATTACGACTTCGCCGTATACATGGCCCATGTGGAGTTTGCGGGTTACGCCTACGATTTTGCCTTTGAAAAGTACGCGGCCGGTTTCTGCGCCGCCGATGGCTTCAATGATGCTTTCGGCGACGGTATCGATGCGGTTTTCCTTGCGTGCGCGTGCGACTTCGCGACCGATGCGCCAGGAAAGCGATACTGTGTGTTCGACGGCCCAGCGCTTCGTTTCCTCCCCGCTCACTGGCGCATCGGCGGTGCCCACTGAACTTCCCATCTGGCTCAGCGCTGCGCGAATCACTTGTTCGACTTTGAGGTCGCTGGCAGCGGTGGGCATGTAGAGCGTGTTTCCGTTTCCATCGGCGACGGCCACCGGGGCGAAGATGATGGGGCGCTCGTTGAAGACGACGGGCGTGGTTTGCCATTTTGTGGGGTAGGCGCGGCCCATCCAGTCGCCGTCGATGCAGGGGACGTTCATGTTGGAGGAGGCGCCGAGGACGAGGCCTTGGAGACCGTTTGAGCCGCCGATTTCGAGGGGGATGATGTGCGTGGCGGAGGTGCTGGGATTGAGGGTGCGGAGGGTATTTTGGGCGTCCATCATTCTGGGTTGTTGTTAGTTTCCTTTGTTCTCTTCCACTTGGTACTGTTAAATTGGTGGGAGGGAATTAAAAGACTTACTCGTCTGCGGAGAGCTTTTCGATACCGACGGTTGGACTGCCAGCGCCGCCTCCGCTACCTACGAGAGCATCGTCTGCTAGGTCGTCCGGGTTGACAACGCGGACTGTGTGGCCTGAGCGAAGTATTCCTCGAACTCGAAGCATAGTTGAGTAAGGGGATCCGCCACCACCGGTACCCAGGATGTAGCACCCGATTGTGATCCATGCGAGATCTGTTTCTGAGATCCACCACTCGCGGTTCTTGACGTTGGGCTTGTACGTATCGATGTCGACATCCGTGACAGCATCGGCTTCGTCTGTGTTTTCTTCAGTTGAAGGCGCAGCAATAGCAGCACCGGTGTCCTCCGGACCAGTTTCTGACTCCTCTCCGTCTTTAGTCACATCCAAGTCTGAAAAGTCGCCTGCACGGGAAAAGTCAAAGTCGCCAGCAGCTCGAACCATGAAGCGTGTCTTGTTAGCCACATACTGCAGTGGCAGATCTTCCACTTCGACAATTGCAACTGTATCCGCTGAGCCGCCTGCTTCAATCGTCTTTTGCTTAGCTTCAACACAGATTTCCTCCAGAAGCTCCTTTTGTGACTGCTTCTCAGTCGACTTGACAGTGTCGATGACAGCACTGACGCGTGCCATTGCAGCACCAATTGCATTGGCTACGCCCGACCATCGAGGCTTGATCACCCTGCTTGCACCTTTGAGTTCATCTGGTGCTATGACTGCACCTCCACCCACTAAAAGAACAGGAATGTCCTCCGGGGACGTCTTCATCGTATCAATAATACTCTCAAGCATGCGCTTCGTCTCCGTCTTGAAAGCCTGTACATCCTCCTCCTTAAGCTTCCCTCGCACCTTTTCCGGCTCGCCAATAGCAACATCAGACGATGCCGCAACAATGTAATCAGTCGCCGTTGCAACACTGCCCCCAAACACAAGTGCTTTTTCCGGTAATTTGTAGCCCACAGATTCCGGTCCTACCTGCATTTTCCCTTCGACTCTCCGCACCAGACTGCCACCTCCCAACCCGATACTCTTGACATCGGGATATGAAAAGTTCATTCGTACGCCCGATAGCTCAGAGTATGCAGCTTGCTGTCTGGGGAAGCCGTTGGCAAGTAGTAGACCCACATCTGTAGTGGTGCCACCAACATCAACAACCATCATAGCTTCTCCTTGTTCTTGCTTTCCCATTAGAAACGCCGCTCCGCGCATACTGTTCGTCGGTCCAGAAGAAAACGTGCGGATAGGCAACTGACTTGCTGCTTTACCACTGAGTATCGTGCCATCGTTCTGCGTGATGAAAACAGGGCAGCTGAGTCCCAATTTCTTGACTGGCGTCTGAAACGACGCGATTGTCTTTCTTGCAAAACTCAGAATCGAAGCATTCAGTATCGCGGCATTTTCGCGCTCCAGGAACCCGAGGTTGGCGACCGTCTTGCTGAGCACAATGTCGACGTCGTTGCCAAGTTCGCGTCTGATGATTTCCGAGGCGCGTTCTTCTTGCTTGTCAATTGTGTCGATGGGACTGAAGACGCCGTTTACGACTATGCTTTTGATTCCTTTTTCTTTGATGATACGACACTGTTCGACGATTTCCTCCTCTTTGATGTCTGAAATCAGACTGCCGTCGACTTCCAGTCCGCCCTTGAGGAGTGCGTAGTGTCCAAGGATGATGTTGCGCAGGGAGGTGGGCCAGTCAACACAGGGTGGTGCGTGCTTACTGAATGGGCCGCAGAGACGGATGACAGCAACGCGGGAGAGGCGTGTTCGATCTCGAGTCACAACCGCATTTACAAAATGCGTTGTTCCTATTGTCACGCTGGCTACGGATGCTGGGTCCACCGACGCGGATTTGAACATGGTCGTGATGGCATTGGCGATTCCATGGCTGGGATCCGTTGTCGTTGGAGCCTTGTGCCTGGTGGTATCTGTGAGCTCTCATGCTATCCTACATGGAATGAATTGGCTGCCCTGACTCAGGTACGTATACTGAGGCCAGTGCATAGGGGTGGGATGCAAAGCGAGTTGTTTCTCTGAGCGTAACAAAGGAGGAGAAATATTACCAAGCAACAATCCCACGATCCTCCTCATTCGACCTTGTAGGATCAATGATAACTCCATCTGTATTCGTACTACAAAGCAACCGTCAGTTTCGCAATACAGCTTTATTCTCTGCGTTGCGGCGTAGCTCACCCGCCAACGTCGACACCAATTCGCAGATTCTTCGTCGCAGCCATGGCAATAGCAAGACTCGTTTTTGAGAGAAAAGCGGAAAAAATTGAAATGTTAGGAAAACCACAATGGATGCTGTCAAGTCACTTCATTTCTGACGTGACACTGCTCCCATCTGATAAGATGTGGATTTCGCGTTGGTGGGGCAGGCCAACCCTGGCAACATAGCCCCGAAGTCGCACCTTGCTCGTGTTCGACTGCACAAACAAGGTCGTCTTTCAGCCGTCCCACCCTCGTACATCTCCAATTCACCTCTCCACTCTCCAAACCATCTCCAAATCGATACTGATTAGACTTAATTCTAGGTACTCGCCATCATTGCGCACAACCAATCTCCTCCGTCGCTACTCTGTATCCAAACGGTTGTTCGCCAAAGTATCGCCTGTGCCCCTCCAACCCCACCCGCCGATCTTTTACTACATCTACATTGCTGGGATAAGAAGAACCCCTCCTTTTCCCCCAGATACCTAATGCCGCGTGCACTCCGGAAGCGATTATCAACTTATCTCTGCTCCTTCCAAACCCCCAGTCTTGCCTTTTTCTGGGAATAAACGAGCATGGATATTAATATGGTTTCTTGAGGATTCGGATTACCCCCCTGGGCTATTGGTTGCATTCTAGAGTAGTATCAAGCATTCCTGCGGCGTATACGCTTGATTAATGCAAAGTCGAGCTATCACTATTGCAAACTTGCATACTCTCCTTCTACATCTGCCTACACATACTCGCCAACTCTCGAAATCACGCAAATATCATATGATAGCAGAGAAAAAACAAGCTTTCCATTAGTCCTCAAACCACACTCTTGACACTCAGCCATTCCCCCGCGCAATCGCGCTAGTCGCCGCGTGCCCGCCCGTTGTCTAGATAGTGCTCCCACCATCCCCGCTGGAGTATGTAGGGGGACGCCACTACATAAGGGCCTCGGCGCCGAGCCCTCTCGGTCCCGCAAGATAACCACCCTATACCTTTCATTCTTGCCTTTAATAAAAAGGGACATACAACTCAGCTATCCCCTGCTCAGCTTTCCTTCTCCTCAGCTCTCCCTCCTCTCCCTCTCCCTCTCCCTCTCCAACCCTCCTGCCCCATCCACTCAACCCTCACTATCTTATCTATCCCATTCCCACCCCTCAATGTCCAAATAATCGGAACGTGAATATATGAAAAAGCAAAAAAAACTATGGCTTTAAAAGACCGCATAACCTCCCTCCCCGGATCCCTCCGCCTCAAGGGTAACGAATCCAAACACGAACAAACAGACGCATGGAGCAACCGCGACTTAATCCCCTTACCACCCGAGCGCCGAACATGGGGCTGGTTCAATTTCTTCGGATTCTGGTCTATCGGATCGTTGAATCTGGCGAATTGGCAGACGCCTAGCACTTTCTTAGGTACTTTATATTCCTCTCTCTCTCTCTCTCTCTCTTCCCAAAAAAAAACAACCCGCTTAAAACCCCCATATCCGTTATACGGCATTCCCACGAAGAAGTAGTTTGAAAGGAGCAAAAGAAAGAGATTGCTAATGCAGATTATGAGGAAACAAATAGCCATGGGTCTTTCCGTCCCCCAAGCCATGCTCATCATAGTCGTCAGTCGCATTCTCATTGCGGGTTTCTCGACGCTGATTGCGTGGATCGGACTCAAGTGGCATATTGGGTTCACGGTGCAGAATCGGTATAGTTGGGGGTTGAGGGGAAGCTTTATACCGCTTTTGCAGCGGATTATGTTGAATTTTATTTGGAATGCTGTGCAGTGTGAGTTTCCCTTTCCCCCCCCCCTCTTTCTTCTCGTTTTCCCAGTCTGAAGCGCTAGGAACGGGAGTTTACGTGATTTTTTTCCCTTTGAACTTTGTGGTTAATATGGGAACTTGTAGGTTGGAATGGCGGGCGTCTCGTCGCTGTGTGTTTGACGGCAATCTGGCCGTCGTATGCTCGCATGCCGAATACGTTTAGTCCGAATTTTCCAACTACAACGGAGCAATTCGTAGGCTTCGTTGTCTTTTGGTTCCTTTCCACGCCGTTCCTGTGGCTGCGACCGGAGAAATTCAAGATCCCGTTCCTCATCGTATGCACATGGTGCGGCGTCGGCATGCTAGCGTGGATGATCTGGGCCCTGGCTACCGCAAAAGGCGTAGGTCCGTTGTGGAATTCCGGGCAAAATGTACCGGCGGGCTCGGAATGGAATACCTCGTGGCTCATCATGGCGGGGATTAACCAGAGCATCGGCGGTTTGGCGGCGGGAATTACCAATGGAAGTGATTTCTCGAGGTATGCACGGAGAAGAAGGTCCTACCTCTGGGGTACTTTTGGCAGCTGTCTAGTCACTGGTGTACTAGTCTCCCTCATCGGTCTTGTTACTGCTGCTGCCGGACAAAAGATTTACGGCGAGGTATATTGGAACCCACCGGACCTACTCATGCGCATCATGGATAACGGAAACGGGTCGTCGCGGTCCCGCGCGGGCGTCTTTTTCCTATCTGCTGGTTTCGCTTTCACCGCCATGTTCGAGAACATCTGCGGCAACGCCGTTGCGGGTGGCATTGATCTCGCTGGTCTGTTTCCCCGATACATTAACATCCGACGCGGCGCCATCATCACCTTTGTGGCTGCATGGATTGTTCAACCCTGGCAACTGATTAATCGGGCTACTACTTTCATCGCGGTGCTTTCGTCGTTTTCGGTTTTCCTGGCTCCGATTATAGGCATCATGGCTTGCGACTATTATATTTTGAGGAACAGAAGGATCCGCTTGACGCACTTGTATCGAACAGAAATGTCTGACTACTACTTCACCAAGGGGTTCAACTGGCGTGCTATACCGGCGTGGCTGGCCGGATGGGCTCCTACCATTGGAGGGCTGGTCGTGACGGTGCGAGGAGATGCGAAGCCACCAAGGGCTTTGGTGGAACTTTACTACATGGCCTTCTTAATTGGTTAGTGACATGTCCCGCGTTGGTACTGAGTGTGGCCATAATCGACTAACATCTGCCTAGGTTTCTTCATCAGCGGTATTCTGTTCTATCTGCTAAACATCCTCTTCCCCGTTGCCGACATGGGCCAGATGGATCCCATTGATGTATATGGTACCTTTACCTTGGCTGAAGCAAGAAGAGTTGGTGTCACACCACTCGATGACAGCACAATAGTCGGAGAAGCGCTCGTGAGAGGATCATCGGGTAACGATTACAACTTCAAGGGAAAGGACATGGAAGTCGGTGTAACAAGTTAATAGGTGGATCACGTGACGATCGTAGTTATGCTGGTTTCTGTAGTGGCCATAGTTAGTTTCATTATAACAGAGTCGGAAGTTCCACATCATGACGTACGCACTTTGTCTCGACTTGGGATAAATTCTAGTGTTGAGGTACACTGGTCCTTCGACTAATGACTTCCTTTCCCTTGTTCCTGAACGTTGAATGCACTTATCTTGTCGTTTTCCCGACAAGATTCAGATTGGAATGGTGGTTGTGCGCCAGAATCTAACGCATACCACAATGGCTTCTGCTGAGTGGATATAAGGGAAGAAGAATGCAGTCTTGCCTTCAATTTTCGTATGCGCTAATATTTAGTCTTTCTTTATTTAATCTGTTTCCTATAGTGAGAAACAACGAATAGAAGAAAAATAGATTTAATCCACTCTGAGTACGCGCAGTATGCAAAGAATCCTCGATGATCCTGGCAAAAGACCACGTCAAGCACTCTAAAAGCCCACTGTGACCATTCAAAGTGATTGCAGAAACTGCCGAGCAAACTGCCATCAGTAATGGAATCGTCTAGTGCTCGAGCACTGATATCAGTCTTGTCAATAGTGTCGAATGACGCGACAAGACACAACACAGCGTAGCGGGTGCAAGCTTACTACGTCATCGATTCCGGTAGCGCCGAGCAAAAGAACAGCTAGACTTGACACCCTTCTTAAAAAGAGCCCCAAACCCAAGCGAGATAAAACAGGCTTCCTTCTCTTTCCTGAAAAAGTCTTGAAAAATATTAAAAATCAATCATCTTCTCAAAACCCATCATGGCACCAGGCGACCATCTCCCCGACTTCCTCACCAATACCCCTCTTGATCCTACCTTTGAAAAGGATATTCTGGATACGCACCTGATCTACGACTACGACGCGCAGGATAGCAACGGCAAGCCGGAGAAATGGCGGTATGAACTATGGTGCTTCTCGTCTGACCGGGTAGTGTACGCTATCCACGGGGGACCCATGGCGGGCCGGATAAACTACCAACGAGCAACCTACCAATGCATACGTCCTGGGGAGCTTTGGCAAATCAATTGGCTAGAGGAGACGGGTACTGTGGTTTCTGCAGTCTACGACATCAAGGAGAAGACGATGACGACAATGATTGCATTTTCAGAGGGCCATTGGAAGAGGTCCAAGGAGGCGCTGGGCGACAAGAGGAACAAGGAAGATCTGGAGAGATGGAGGGGGTTGGCAGGTGTGGGAAATCAGACGGCAAGGTTCATGTTGAGTGAACAGGGGCGCATAGTAAAGACGTTCAAGGGTAAGGGAAAGTTGGTGCCGATTAAGGAGAGCGATCCGCTGTTTTAAGTCGCTCTGGTGGTACGTTAGGTGGTCGGCGATGAGTTTTGTGAGTAGTGGACGTGTTGCTAGATTTTCATTTTCGTTAGATAAATGTATCCGGGGTGCAAAGCGCATATCCAAGGTGTAAGTTCGGGGTACCCGAGGTCAGTCGGCGACTGGTGGTGTCGCGAACAAAATCTACGTATCCTGTGTCGCAGTGGGGAATGCAACCTTGTATAGGGTGCTGTGTAGCACAGGCGAGGTACCACAATGCAATGAAAGCGGTGGGCCGTGTTGGGAGTGTTCGGCGACCATTTCGGGGACCAGCTTGCAGAGCGGAGGACAGGCGTGATACAGTGACTGCACTGGACGGATGGGAGGAGTGACTCGATGTGTTGCGAGGTCACTTGGCGGGCGTGGGAGCTGGAGCCAGCCACGGTTGAATTGAGGCTAAAGGCAAACCTGAATCCGATAGTGTGGTCAAGCCCACGTCCCAACCGCATGGTTCTCTTCGCCGTCTCGATCGCATCGCGTTCCCGTGCAAACCGCCAAGCAAACTCTCTGAGCATGCGGCTTCTGCACTCAAAGGCAATATATACGTACATACATACATACATACATACATACATGCTATAAACGCTCCGCAAGCGGGCCGTGGAGAGATGGGCCGACGGGGCCAGGAAGGAGTTGGTGGTGGCTGTCTAAGACGCGTAGGGCCAAGGGGAACCAGAGAAAGCGAGTCCGGCGTGCATGCTCACTGCAAGTAGCAGATACGTACGTACGTACGTAAGTACAAGTAGGTACTGACAAGAGAGGGCAAGGCTAGCGAATGGTTTGTGCAAAGGAAGCCATGCTGTCGATCCGCCGCCCCACGGTCCGTCAGAGGCTGCGAGGGAAAGCGAACTGGTAGAGGGGCGTGGCTCTTATCTTGCATCCGTCGCGGGAGCCGAGCGGGCAACGGCGGTGCCGGACAGGGCCATGTGGGGTAGTGGGTGTGTAAGCGTGTCAGCTCTAGTGTGGCATGTACTCAGCGCGCAGCGAGGCGCCAGGTGGTGTGTCAAGGCCATGGCCGTCGCGGGGTGCCAGCGTGTTCGGAGTCCGATGGGCACTAGGCGGTGGGTGTGGTGTGGGTGTTGGGGGTGTTGGAGTGATGGTGGTGGTTGTGGTGGTTGTGGTTGGTGATGATGGATGGAGGAGTTGGGGCTACCGGTGAGAGGAAGCTGTCAGGGCGGGCAGGCAGAAGCGGCATGGCGGCGGCATAGTAGTAGTAAGTATGGCGGCATGGCGGCATGGCAGCCCAAGGCAACGGCCGCATGACAGAGAGGGACAAGAATGGGGCCACGCCAATTTCCACCCGGCCTCAGCCTGGGGAGCCTTTTGCACGCTCTGTCTTGGGGCCAAGTGCAAAGACATGCAAGACGACATGCAGGACAGCGCAGGACACGCAGGACACGCAAGACCCCCCCGCCTCGAGCGATGCACGACTGTCGTGCGCAGCAGTCTGGATGCTCGCGTTACATTGACAATCAATCTCGTACTACCCCATCCGGCTAGTCCCATGCGCCGCCTAGCCCATGCCACCGCAATTTGGCCCCAGGACGCCCCCGTGCCACAGCACCAAACGTCGGTATGACCAGGGCCCGCTACTCGCATACCTTCCCGAATGCTGCTCCATCAGCTGGTGCCAGCATGGAGCTAGCCAGCCATGATTATCTGCTTCAGCCCTCGGTCCTTCATGTCTTGCATGTCTTGCCCGCTCTCCCTCATGCCCTGCCCTCCTCCTCCAGGTTGAAACACTGCACCGGAACTTGACACTCCCTCCAACCCGCCTGCTACGACTATACACACAATCTACCACTTACGCATACTGCCCATACATTGCACCAATATCGCCCACAATGGGTCGCCCGGTCTTTACATCCCGCGATAACCTCCACATGCTCCGAAGCTCGGCCTTTGAATCCGAACATGCCTGGTTATACGACACCTCCTACATGCAACATGGAGCCGCTGCCTTGGAACTCGAACACGAAATAGAGCAGGCCTATTCCAGTATTTCGCCAGACGACCTCTCCGACGAGCAAGTGCGAATCATCAAGACCCAGATCACCATCCACCGAGAACGACAACGAGCCCTGCGTCCCCACCTCGAAAGCGGCAGTGACCAGATTGACGAGGAGGGCAACGAATGCGTCTTTGTACCCGCTCCAAATCAATGGGGCGCCAATGGCGACTTGGACGAGGAGAGCGAGACTCTCTCAGCAGTATGTAGCAGTCTGGTTACCTATGTTTCTGTATATCCATGACTGACAATGGTCCAGATCCACAACCTCCTCACATGGCAGACTTCCTACTCACCAATCTCACACACACTACACGATCAACTCCCCTCAACAGATATCCCTTACCATGCTCTTCTTGACCCATCGCTACCCACAACCACATTTCACTTGCACCGCACACGGGAATGGACCGGCTCGTCAGGCTTCCGAAAGTACATCTACAGTGCGCGAGACCACTCCGACAAGTACATGCTATACATGCTCGAGGCCACACATCGCGACGACAGCCAAGTAAACGCTGCAGACTTCTTCCGCGTCGCAGAGTTCCCCCAGCCATGCATATCAGTCCTCCTTTCTGGTATCGATAAGAAGCGCATAACCACCGATTCCTCCAAAGATGCTGCTTACAAGTCACGATGCATCCACCTCCGCGGCCCGTTTTCACAACCAGTCAAAGAGTATCCTGATAGGCAGCAAAAGATCCCGTGGTCTCCGCGACGATTTACCTATGGTGGCCGGCGCTTTGTCTGGAAGCAGGGGGACCCCAACGACGACGCTATGCCAGAGACATTGTATGAGTACCAAAAGGATTGGGCAAAGCCAGGCAGCAGGACGGGTAAGCGGTGCGACGATGCAAAGCCAATCAAGCTGGTGTGGGGAGAGAAGCGGAGAAAGGGAAAAGTCGATAGCTACACTATCCACTTCCGGGGAGGCATGGACCAGGTCTTTAGGGAGATCCTACTAGCGAGCCAGATGGCCCGCCAAGTGTGTCTGTTCACGGCCATGGGCTGAGTTGATCTCAGCGCTGGGACCGACTGAGCTGAAGTTGCTGAATGATGACGCTGGATTGTCTTAGCGATAGGCGTTTTACAGGAACCGTGAGGCACGGTATAGATACCATTACTCGGCGTTTTAGACTTTTTGCATGGAACCTTGATTCCCACCACAATCAAAATGTATTCTATTCCCCAAGACTTTGCAATATCCTGTTTCAAGTGACTTTAGAGAGCCATATTGTTGTACCTACGTAGGTATTGACATCGGCATAATCCGTCTGACTCATCCCTAATATCTCCGCTGGAGCCAACAGAGGCGTTTACCGCAGCATCACTGCAGGTAAGCTACATGATTTGCAACGCCTGTAAATTGCACGGCAGCCTTGCTGACGTACTTGTAAAAAGGGCGCGGCTGCAACGACTCGACGTGATTGGTGGCCTTCTGGACAGGGCATACGGGTCTAAGGAAGATGTGCGATAAGCTTTGCATGAAATGATGGTGACCGGCTCATGGAACCCTCTTTAGACAAGCGACGGAAGTACGCGACGATGTATTTTACCGCCTTCGTCAACGGCTGGACTAAGCGATCAACATGTCAGCAAGATGGGAAGGAGCAACTACCCAATGCGTACGGTTTGATTGCACTTGTTTGGTGTGTCCCATCTCACTCCATAGCTGCCAGAGTCCATAGCAGCTGGGCGGACATCACTATGACTTCATTCATTGGTCTCTGCGTACCTACATCCATACAAACAACGAAGCCGTGGCCATCCCATTGCTCCCACCTGACCACCGTTTTCAACACTACTGCTGGCCGGAACAGGCATAACCGAGGTCCTTTGTTCTAGCGGACCCCTACTCCTTCGACGACTATTCCCTTAGTAGCCGTCTTGTCTTGGCCCCAACAACTAAAGTCTTACATACGTCTCCAGCCGACGCCCACCGCTTCGCCAAACAACACCGACCGACTGTTAGCTCACCCACCAGACGGACCAACCGTCCCGCATATAAGCCACAACAGTCGTCGTGGGTCCAGTCATCGCTCAAGGCCACACAGGGTTACATGCCGCAGAGCCAGTCAAACGTACATCGACGCACAACAAGTCCACGTGCAGCGCTTACCAGGCGACTCTAAGCACACCACTACCACTACAACAACTAGTCGTGCGGCTCCCTCCATTCGCAGAAATACCCCTCAGCCATGTCGTCAAGTCGCAGCACCTCTCTACGCGAGGCCACACATTCCTTCTGCCAGGCCCTCCTCTCGCCTCCCCCGCCCTCAGACCTGCTGTCAAAGTACTTTAGCAGCACGCCCAAGATCACAGAGCACGGGCCTGAATGGGCCCAATCGCGACTACCTTTTCTGGCCAAGACCTTTTCTGGAAAAGAGGGCTGCGAGGAGTACTTCGAGCTTATGTCTGGTGTGCTGGACATGTCGCTCCCTAGTGACGCATTCCCGGCCAAAGAGGGATTCATTGTAGATGCAGAGGCAGGCATGGTCAGTGTAGTTGGCAAGGGGCGGTTTGCCAGTAAGAAGACGGGAAAGGCGTGGGATGAGCAGTTCATCCACCGGTTTAGTGAGTTTGATGAGCACGGCAAGATTGGTCACTGGGAGATCTGGGCGGATCCGCTCAGCGCTTGGGAGGCCGTTGGCCCGTAAAGGTTAAAAGATGATGGTGGCGATTGCAACGGCTTATTGCGCTCAGACATGCTAGCATGACGAATATGGTAAACGACTCTATACAGAATTCAATAGTCAGATAGACTAGACTTCGATGCATATGAACGGATCGCGGAGTCCAACGCCGTTAGCGCCTCGCTTCGTAAATGTGGGTCCCCATCGGCGTCTTCTGCACCTAACCTCCGAACCCTTCAACTTTTCTTCATCCACGTCTCTGCTTCACCCACCGCGACACCAACAGCGCGAAGTACCGCGCATGTTGCTTGACACATCCAGGACACCTCCATAAAGCTGGAGGCTGGAAGCTGTCAATGATGTCGCACTCTTAGGTCCTCGCTAACTCAACAGCCTGGCCCCCAATGCCCATTGTAATAGGTACGTTGGAAACTTTTTCTTAATCACAGCATGTGCGCGCTTCGCTGCGATGCGCGCATTTGCACAAGCTCAAAAGATGATATGTACATCGACCATATAATACTTTAGGAAGAGCCGGAAAAGGTATGGCTAGCATCGACATATGCTACGCCGTCGCTGCTTATAACTTGGTCTCTGAAGAGCTTCGTCACTTTACACGTAATCTAGACTTGTTGTCTTGGGACTTGCGCTGACGATGTGAAGATTAGGTTTTGTTAATATGCCTGCGATTTAAATCGATTCGAGGATTCGTGCGTGGGTGCGCGGTTGGTGAAGTGCGCGCCACGGATCATGTGTTGAATAAGGATTGCAGATGTAGGGTCACAGCCAAGGGGAAAGGTGGCGCTTGTGCAACAGCGGAGCAGCTTTTCTATGGAAGCTACAAGGATTGTTACTGTCGCGTGTTTGCCATACTATCCCAGTTGAGTAGTGCTGAAGTATCTAGCTCGAGTGTCGATGTAGATGACATCGTCTTCTCACAGTAAGCCACGTCTTCTGGCCTAGTCTGAAGGGAGCCCGAGATGGCTTGAGCAGGCTCATATCCAGTCCAAGGCTGAGAGGGCCCATTCGCATCGAAGCTAAGCTCCGGATCCATCATGAAAGATTGATCCTGAGGCCCAGCGATGTCATTAAGATCAAGCAGATCCGCATCCCCCCCAAAATCAATCAAATCATTAAAATCAAAGCTCTCTCCACCCCACGCTTGCTCTCCCACCTCCACCACCGCAGACCTCCCACCCTCCTCCTTCCTCCTCTTCTTCTCCCCAGCCACCCTACCCACCCACTCCCTAGGCGTAACCCCCATCCTCCCTTTAAAAATCCCATGAAAATACCTCGGCGTAAACCCCACCAGCCCCGCCAACTCCCCCAACCTCACCTTCCCCCCCTCCCCCTTCCCGACCGCCTCCTCAATCCGCTCACACGCCTCCCTCACCGCCCGCTCCTGCCTCCCCTCCAGCACCGCAACATTGGGCTTGCATCGCTTGCACGCGCGGAACCCCGCTGCCTCGGCTTCGCGCCAGGTGTCGTAGAAGCGGATGTTTGCGCGCCGGGCGAGGCGCGAGGGGCATGTCGGACGGCAGTATATACGTGTTGTTGTTACGGCGTAGATGAAGGATGTGTGGGCGGTTGGGTCGCGGGTTTTGAGGGCGCGGTGGCGGGATTGGGGGGTTGTGTGGGTGGGCATTATGGACTTGGAGTTTGGAAGGCAGTAAATGGTAGGGGGGGTTTTTTCGGAGAGAGAGAGAGAGAAGGACAGGAGGTTTGAGGGTATAGTTAAGATCGGGGGAGGCGGATTTATTAAGAGGTAGAGATGGGGATACCTAGGTATAATGGTAATTCTGTGCTCTGATTGGTTAGTTTGAGAGCATGTGTGCGTGGGGCTGGATTGTTTAGTTCACTGTATTTGGAGGGATTGGATTTAGGTGGATGAGAAGTCAAAGGTTGATTGAAACGATGTCTTGTTAGCATGAGACTGTTTGCAAGATGTAAGGGGGGTTTGGGTAGGGTTGCTCCTTCCGGTTTATGCGTCGGCGTGTTGGATGAGGTAGGCACGATGGAGAGGACTCACATTTGAGTCTCACTAAACTATGCCTCACATGTACGAATATTCTTTCAGTCTGATACTGAATATTTTGACATCCTATCCATCATAGCCCCAAATGGCGGATATCCCCAACATATTCGCACAACCCAGCATCGCTGCACTTCCACCCCCGACAATCCGACAACTGGGCTCCAGCCAAGTCCTCATCGGCCCCAGCTCCATCGTAAAAGAGCTCATCGACAACGCTCTCGATGCCCGTGCAAAAAGCATCTTCGTCGATATTTCCGCCAACACGCTTGATTCCATCCAAGTCAAAGATGACGGTCACGGCATTCCAAGTGACGACCGATCTCTCGTCTGCCGCCGTTACTGCACCAGCAAAATAAGAGATTTGAACGATTTGAGAGAACTAGGAGGGAAATGGCTGGGCTTCCGTGGCGAGGCGCTGGCAAGTATGGCGGAGATGAGCAGCGCGTTTAGTGTGACGACGAGAGTGGAGGGTGACCCTGTTGCTGTCAAATTGAAGTATAGTCGGGATGGGGAGCTTGAATCGTGAGTTTGCCTTTTCCAAAAGGATGTTATTGTGCGAGCGTGTGAAGGAGACTGATAGGTGTAGTGTTGCGCATGATTCACATCCTGTTGGCACGACTGTCAAAGTAATGGGGTTCTTGGAGCATATACCTGTTCGGAAGCAGATGGCGATTAAGGATGCGGCGAAGTGTTTGGGGAAGATTCGACGAGTGATGCAGGCGTATGCGCTTGCAAGGCCAAGTGCTCGGTTTAGGCTTCGCGTGCTTAAGGCTAAGAATGGTAATGGCGACTTTAGTTATGCGCCAAAAGCGCATGCTACGGTCGGCGATGCTGTGCTGAAGATTTTCGGTAGAGACTGCGCTGCTCAGTGCAGTTTCACTACTGTGGAAGCTGATGGCTTTGAGATTCGCGCTTTTCTACCCAAGCCAACTGCAGTTGGGTCGAAGATTTCAGGTCATTGCAGCTTTGTCGCGGTCGATGCACGGCCGGTGTCGAGTAACCGTGGTACTATCAAGCAGATGGTTCATGCTTGCAAACAGCGACTTGGGAAGGCGAATCCCTCTCTTGCAGGTGTTAGGGATCCCTTCTTCTGCATCAACATTATTTGTCCGCCTGGAAGCTATGATCCCAATATCGAGCCGACCAAAGACGACGTCATGTTTGAGGACAGTAACATTGTTTTGAGGGTCTGGGAAGAGTTGCTGGATTCCTTGTATACTGAAGCAGTCGTTAATCTCGATGAGCCAGACGACGTGGTCGATCAAAATCCGAACGAAGCTATATTTGAATCGCACAACACAAGTGATCAGAACGAGGCGTCAGTCCCTGCGCCGCAACCAAGGTGGAGACACAGCATGTACGGCATCGACGAAGAGGATCTGGAGTTTTTACAGGACGACCGTACTCCGATCATTGACGAAGAAGAAGGACGCCACGCCGCAGAAGTATCCAATCCTTGGACTATTACTCGAATGAACGCTGCGATCAAACCCAGGGCGCCCGCTAACAATGTCCAACTTTTGAGTCCAGTGAAAAGTACTGGAAATGTTGATTCAAGTTCTAGTCCCTCGAGAGTACCTGCAACGCCTAACCGAGTGGTTTCAGCAGAACCTTTGACGCCTCAGACATCTTCGAAGGCGAATACGGTGCAATCACTGCTTGATGATGAGCTTGAGCGTAGCATACAACGCCTACCTCCGCCATCATCGGTAGCAGGAAGTATTAGTGACTGGGTTTTGGATCGCCTGGGAGGCCAAGCGATCGATGGTACAGGTACACATGTTGCAGGAGGAGAAGTACCAAGTTCTGTCCTACGGTCTGAGACCCAGGCACCGGAACCCCGGACATCGCAATTGATTCAATACCGCAATATAGCCACTGGTACAGTTTCTCCAGGCGAAGGTCCTCTCAACCAAAATCAACCCGCAGTGCGGAGGACTACTCGTCAAAAGAAAACCAAGGACGCTACGACAGCATATCGTCCGCCAGGCAATTCACAAAAGCGCTTTGCGGGAGTATCAGTGCAAGAAGAAGCGACTCGTTTCTTTACAGACAAGAATATGGATATCCGGAATTTCCTTGGTCCAAGGAGCGACATGCAAGTGATTCATCTTGCACAGAAACAGTCTTTTACGCCAATCAATACACCAACCCAAAGCCACCCCAGATCAAATATCTCACCTCCAATTAACACAAAAGCCCCTTCTTTCTCGCAAAACAAGCAATCCATGCCACATGTATCCCCAGTATCCCATCTTCCAACCAACCAATCCACCACTTCACGCACCGAACCCCACACCTCACCACCTCACAACTCCCCACCCACACAGCCCCCCGTATTCCGCCGCACGAGCACAAACTCCATGACTTCCTTCTTCCGCACTCAAGAAGAAAAAGCAGCAAACCACTCATCCCAGCACCTCAAACGCTCCACTCGCGTACCCACAGCGCTGCCGCACGAGAAAACCCCACACTCTGCATGCAATTTGGCATTGCGCCTTAGCACTGACATCGCTTCTATCATGTCCTTTGCACGTATGTACCAGGAGACGGTGCTGAATTGGGACTTGGTGGCGGAATTTGCGTACGGTGGGTTCAACAAGGAGATGGCTGGGGGGCGGATTGTGGAGTGGGTGGGTAGGATAGATGGGAAACTGTGTGGTATGTATGAGAGAGCGAGGGGTGCGGATGAGATAAGGGTGGTTATGGAAGAAGGGATGAGGAAGGCGTTGGAAGGGATTGAATGGGAAGACGAAGAAGAACAGGGGGAAGAAGAGATGTTAATGGATATGTAAGTAGGATCTTTATTAATCAGGAAGACCACAAGAACAAGGACATGTGGGATCATCTCAGATAAGAACTCAATGGCTATATTCTCAACATTTTCTTTTCTACGCTTCCCCCAATTTAAACTCTCTAAATGCCACCTCCTTAGGCAACCTAAAACTTGCGCAAAACATCCTCTTCTTAGGCGCTACATCGCGTACATCATGCACATACACATCCTCCATATCCGGCGTGATTTCGTACTCAATCTGTCTACTTATCTCTTCGCAGATACCCTTGATTTCCGCTACATTGTCGTCGCTCTTTGTGGAGAAGCAATGGACGTGGATCATGGGTAGCTTCTGCTCCGTGTGGGGGGCTAGCATTTTCTTGATGTCGGCGGCAGGTAAACCGGGGATGTTGGCGTAGAGGCCGATGAAGGAAGGGAGGAAAGTGATGGCGGAGGCAGGCAAGTTCATGACGTAGTGGGCGAAGAAACGGGGCTGGACGAGCGTCTTGATGGGCTCGGGTTGCTTGTTTTCCTGGGGGTTACTGCGGGAGAATTTGGTTTTTGGGTAGATGGGGACAGTGTGCCGGGAGTCTTGGACGAGGAGGTGGGCAGATGCTTGACGGATGAAGGCGCCACCGTCGGTGTTGAAGGGTCGGACAAAGTCGCCGACTTTGTTGATTTTGATGTTGTTTACGAGCGAGTTGTACGACTCGGGGTTGAGGTCGTTGGCCCAGACGAAGCACTTTTTCTTGCCAGAGGGGATGGCAAATGGGCCTACGCCTGCCATAACATCGCATACGGCCTCGCCTTCCTTAAAGAGGTTGCAGAGGCGCTCATGCTCGGTGTGCAGACGTGTGTTCCAGTAGACTTTGGCAAAGTCAAACTTGAAGGTGCAGCCCTGCTCACGGAGCTCGACGTTCATGTCGTCAGGTCCGTACAGGACCTCGTATTGGAATGTGCGAAATGCATTCTCTGTGCCCACATTGTCCAGTTTGTTGATGACGGTCTTGACCATGGGGTTCTTGTCGGCAAGAACAGCGGCAATGAGGTACTTGTATGGCCAGTATCGCTCTCGCAGGTTCAGGTGGGCGACATGGCCGGCGAGGGCAAAGCCCTGGGGGATTTCGTCGTCGTGCTTGGACTCTGGTGGGGGGATGATGGCGCCCGTTATCTCCGAGTAAGTGAAGTAGTCGTAATCGAGGTGCAACTGGTAGGGTATCATGCCCAATGTACCGTCCTGCTCGAGATCGCGCAGCTTAGGGGACCATGTGGTTCGATCTGCCTGGCTTCAGACTCAGCACCTGGATGTACCTGCGACTTGCGCATGTCGGCTGACTCACCAGTGTGGACGACTTCGGGTCGCAGGAGCAGACACTTGACGCCCTGCTGCGCTTTGTCCGCATCAGGATCTGCCCTGATTGGGTCGACGCGATTGTTCGGCAGAGTATCCTTGGCGGCGGTGAGTTCCTTGCGGCACCGCGAAATGTCCTTGGGGTTGAAGATGCGGGCGGCCGAGGTGGGGATGGTTTTTTGGAAGAAACTGCGGTCGAGTACCTTCATGGCGCGGTTCACGGGGGGCGCGAACATTTCGTCAGTCGCCTCTGGGAGGGACATTGAAGCGTGCGACGGGGGCGTAGTGGCAGTGGCGGGGGTGGTGTGGTGGTGAGGGTGAAAGTAAATGTGGTGGTGGGATTATTTTGTGGAATGACGCAGCGTCAGGGTCCCCCGTCGGGCCCAGGTACCGAGCATGGCCCGTCAGATGCCCCTCGACATGTAGATGCGAGCCAGATGATGTACCTGCAGCAATCTTCAGCCGCATCCTCGCAGCACAGCACCTCGCCAGCTCTACTGCGCCTATTTCTTTACACGTGCCAATTATTGCAAAAGGGTGCTGTGGCCTGCTGAGTGGCCAGAAGCTCGCCGGGGCGGGAATGCAGGGTGCAAGGATCGCGTAATCCTAAGAAGTTGCTTGCTTGTCCCTGGACCGCGATTTCAACTCCCATAACAACAACACCCTATGTCTGTGGCTTCAACCACCTCCTTACCCGAAAAACAACATCCTCGCCCGCACACACACCTCCGACTGCCCCAGTCGCCGCCCATGAAGTCTCACAGTCTCCGCCTCTGACCGCTGCTGCTGCAACCTACCTCCGTCGTTGCCCTCTCCTTTCTCCCTAGTATATATACCCCGGATTTCCGCCTTCTAGCCCGCCCACTGCACGCCCGCCCACCATGGCGTCCGGAGGAGGCGGCAACATCAAGGTCGTGGTGCGATGTCGACCCTTCAACGGGCGAGGTAAGCATTCCATAGACGCTCCTGTGCCCTGTGTTGCTGTGGCTAACTGCGAGCAGAAAAGGCGCGCAATGCACAATGTATCGTGCAGATGAAGGGTGACCAGACCATTCTTTCCCCGCCAGCAAACACCGACGTCAAGGGAAAGGCCGCCAAAGCCGCTGCTGAGGGCGTAAAGACCTTCGCCTTCGACCGCTCCTACTGGTCTTTCGACCGCGATGCCCCAAATTATGCTGGCCAGGACAACCTCCACGAAGACCTCGGCAAGCCGCTACTTGACAATGCCTTTCAGGGCTACAACAACTGTATTTTCGCATATGGTCAGACGGGTTCCGGAAAGTCGTACTCTATGATGGGTTATGGCGCAGAATACGGAATCATTCCCAAGATTTGCCAGGACATGTTTGAGCGAATAAAAGGCATGCAGCAAGACAAGAACTCGACCTGCACCGTCGAGGTCTCATATCTCGAAATCTACAACGAGCGCGTACGCGATCTGCTTAATCCCTCAAACAAGGGCAACCTGCGAGTCCGAGAGCATCCGTCTACTGGTCCCTATGTCGAAGACCTGGCCAAGCTGGTGGTTCAGTCCTTCTCGGAGATTGAGAACTTGATGGACGAAGGAAACAAGGCTCGTACAGTTGCGGCGACCAACATGAACGAGACATCCTCGCGATCGCACGCCGTATTCACCCTTACCCTTACCCAGAAACGCCACGATGTCGAGACGAGCATGAGCGGAGAAAGAGTTGCAAAGATTAGTTTGGTAGACTTGGCAGGATCAGAAAGAGCGCAATCCACCGGCGCAACTGGTGCGCGATTGAAAGAGGGTGCGGAAATCAATCGATCTCTGTCTACACTGGGTCGCGTGATCGCGGCGCTTGCAGACCAGTCGTCTGGGAAAAAGAAAGCACAAGTTCCGTACCGAGATTCCATCCTGACGTGGCTGTTGAAAGATTCGTTAGGAGGAAACAGCATGACTGCCATGATTGCTGCAATTTCTCCCGCAGATATCAACTTTGAGGAAACACTCTCGACCCTCCGATACGCCGACTCCGCCAAGCGCATCAAGAACCATGCCGTCGTAAACGAAGACCCCAACGCGCGCATGATCAGAGAACTCAAGGAAGAGCTTTCCAAACTGCGCTCCCAATTAGGCGGAGGTGGTGGAGGCGGTGGCGGAGCGGCAGGCTCGAATGGCATCGTGGAAGAACAGTACCCACCAGACACACCGCTAGAAAAGCAAATGGTTTCCATCACACAGGCTGACGGCTCGACCAAAAAGGTCTCCAAGGCCGAGATTGCGGAACAGTTGACACAATCGGAGAAGCTGTACACAGAACTGAATCAAACCTGGGAAGAGAAGCTGCAAAAGACGGAAGAAATCCACAAGGAAAGAGAAGCTGCACTGGAAGAGCTTGGTATCAGCATCGAAAAGGGCTTCGTGGGTCTGTCAACGCCCAAGAACATGCCGCATTTGGTAAACTTGAGCGACGATCCGCTCTTGACTGAATGTCTCGTCTACAATTTGAAGCCAGGTACTACAACCGTAGGAAATTCTGATGTCGATGGTCAGACTGCACAGATACGCTTGAACGGTTCGCAAATTCTCGCAGAACACTGCAACTTTGAGAATGTGGATGGCAAGGTGACAGTGATTCCCCAAGAGGGTGCAAGCGTCATGGTCAATGGTGTTCGTATTGATAAGCCACGGCTCCTCAAGAGCGGTCACCGCATCATCCTCGGCGATTTTCACATCTTCCGGTTCAACAACCCACAAGAAGCGCGAGCTGAGCGCGCCGAAGTAGGGACAAGTCTCCTCCGACAGACTGTCACCGCTGGCCAGCTCGGCAGCTCTCCTTCACCCGCTCCAAGACCTGGCCACGATAGGTCATACAGCTCAATCAGTGTAGCGAATAGCGACTTCGACCCCGATAGTCCAAGAGCAGGATCGCCTGCGCTCTGGCAACGAGGGCGAGAGTCTGAGTTTTCCTATGCGCGAAGAGAAGCTCTTACTGCCTGGCTAGGGCCAGACAAACGCATTGAGAATCTACCGGACGAAGACTTTGAAGCACTCTACGAAGATCTCAGCAGACTGCGCGAGACGCGCAAAGCACGGCCGGAAAGCCGGATGATTAGTGATGAGGGTGATACAGAGTCCATGTCTTCATATCCGGTCAGGGAGAAGTATGCTTCTGGTGGCACTCTAGACAATTTCTCCCTTGATACTGCACTGACCATGCCTTCTACTCCACACCAAGAGGGTAGCGAGAAGATGCAAGAAATACGAGAGGATATGCAGAACAAGATAGATCAGTCAAGAGATGAATTCCAAGCCAGGCTGAAAGCTGACGAGGACGCCAAGGTGGAGTTGCAAGAGCTGCGAGCTGCCAAAGAGGCAATGCAGAGGCAAATGAAAGCGCAAAAAGAGGCATTTCAAAGACATTTGAAAGAGCTTGGACACGACATTCCGCTTGAGATAGATGAGGACCTGGAGATCGAATCGGCAAACGCACCAAAAGAACAAGATGCCCAAGACGAACGGCAGCTCGAACTGATACGCTCTGTCCTCAAACAGTGGCGGCGACGGAAATACGTCACCATGGCAGAGACTCTGCTACAAAATGCTGCGATTCTCAAAGAAGCTCAAGTCATGAGTCAGCAAATGGACAAGCGAGTCGTATTCCAGTTTTGCATTGTCGATGTTGGCCACACAGTCCCTTCGTCCTACGACTTGGTAAACATGGGCATTCCAGGAGAAGATGACGAATACCTCGACAGCCAGTCCAAACCTTGCGTTGGCGTACGCGTCATTGACTTCAAGAATGAGGTCGTTCACCTATGGTCATTACAGAAGCTCCGCGATCGTGTACGGCGGATGCACCAAGTGCATCAGTACATGAACCGTCCAGAATACTTTCAACACTTCAACCCGGAATCGCCTTTCTCCGACCCTTGCATGCCCGAGTTTACACGGATTGGCGATGTCGATGTCCCACTTGCAGCTGTGTTTGAGTCGAGAGTTCGAGACTTCAGCCTCGATGTGATATCGCCATACACCTCGAACCCCATTGGCATCATCCGCTTATCGTTAGAACCTTCATCCGCCGAGGCACCTTCAACCACACTCAAGTTCAATGTTGGCATGCATGAAATGATTGGGTTTTCAGAGCGAGAGGGAACAAAGGTGCACGCTGTGCTCTTCGTACCCGGCATCTCGGATGAAAGTGGCGCGACCACTACGACCTGGATTACCGATTTTAACGAAAGCCCTATTCGCTTTGAAAGTGTGCATAGCATGAGCCTTCCTTATCCAAGTCCACGCGACACCTTTCTCCGCATTTCTATCTTTGCAAAAGTCACCGACATCCACCTCGACATGCTGCTTAGCTGGGATGACATGCGCGACTCGGCCGAGAAGCCAAAGCAGAAGCGTCGCAATGCACGTCTGCCAGAATCAGAGTTCTACACAGAAGACACGCACGACATTTTCGCCCGCATCCAGGTTCAAGAGATCACAGACGACGGTACCTACCAACCGGTTGAGGTCACACAGAGCAGCGTTATGGACCAAGGTGTTTACCAGCTCCACCAGGGCCTCGCCCGTCGTATTGTCGTGAACCTTACCCATACTTCGGGTGAGACCATACAGTGGGAAGGCGTCAAATCTCTGCGTATGGGTCATATCCGGATGGTCGATGCAGCAGGCAATTGCCCTAATTATGGCTCACCGGTCAAGGAAGTCCCAGTAGATCTTATTTCGCCACCCACTGTCCGAAACAACGCAGATGGCACAACAAATGTCAAATTCGTTGGGCGATGGGATAGCACTGCACACGCCTCGCAGATCCTCGACCGCGCGACAAAGGATAATTTCCGCGTTCGGGCCACTCTTCTCTTCGACGTCATGTCCTCGAAGCTTATTGAGCCAATGACCTTTTCATTTGACCTCTTCGTGCAGATCCGTGGTCGATCATACATGCGTCCAACCTCGCTCTTTTCCCTGACCAACATCTGGAACACGGTCAAGATTGTTCACTCAACAGTCGGGATCTTCAGTGTGGCGATACGTCCAACATCTGTAAAGCGTGCAACAGATCTCTGGCGCATGAACACAAAGGACGACTACATCAAAGGCGAAGAGCAGCTCGCAGGCTGGACTCCCCGCGGTGTTTCGTTAGTACGAGATTTTATCAACGTTGAGAAGCGCCGCCGCCGTGTTGCTGAGATAGAAACGGCCCGTTCCGTTCTCTCCTCCAAGGCCCTCAGCATACCCACGTCAGCATTGGCATCTTCAAAAGACAAGCCACTAGACGATGCCCAGAAAGCACTCCTGCAACGCATCATCTCTCTGTGGAAGACTAAAAAGGCCCCGGCGGAGATCATTCTTAATTCGACAAACCTAGAGCCACCTACAAACGGCGCTGCTTTCGCACCACGTTCTTCTTCCCCTTCGCCAAGTCCAACGCCTAGCCTGACGGCGACGGTACGCTTCATACCCAAGAACCCAAACCTTATGAAGGCATCGTATCTTCTCACACCAGATCCGACCAACACGCGCTGGACTCGGCGATATGTGGAACTGCGAAAACCGTATCTGCATATCTACTCCACAGATGGTGACGAGATCAACGCCATCAACATTAGCACTGCGCGCATCGACCATTCTCCCCAGATTGCAAAGTTACTCGGCGGAGTGCAGAATCAACACAGCAACAGTGCAAATGGAAGTGGTGGTGCGGGAGTGTACAAGGACGTCGTGTTTGCTGTTTTCGCACGATCAAATACGTACATATTCCGGGCAAGAAGTGAGCGGGAAAAGATAGAGTGGATTTTGAGATTAGACCAGAGTTATTTCAGTAGTGGGGAAGGTAGTGAGGAGAGTGCTTAATGACTAGAGGGCTGTAGGGGGATGTAAAGGGGACCTCTAGTGCGCGAACTAACGTCTATTTCTTGAGCCTGATTTTGAAACAGCTAGTAATTTTTGGCTGTAAGATAGGATACTATTTTCCTAACCTCTTCGGGCGTTACCTTTATATAGGCTTTTTTGGGATACCCAGAGCACAGTTGCTCATTTGGCGCGATCGCTGCAGTAGAGATCGAATTAACCTTTATCGCTAAATGTACTAGTACGCTTGCGCGTGTATCGCGCGGTCCATGTGTCGTTCCTGAACTGAAATGACATTGACGAATTAAAAGCATTGGCAACAAGAACCATGTCCACTTGGGGATGCTACTCATGGTAAGGTCGCCCGACAAACCCTTCGCCGACGCACTGCCGAGGCTAAACAATGAATCTATGGAGCTTACTCGTACAACACCTCAACTTAATATTCAAACTCAATAGCTAGGTAGACCTACTATATGCTTTCACAATCAATCTAAGAAACTAATTGGAAGAGGAACAGATCGTGATCTACAATGGCAGAGGCAGGAAAAGAGAAGACGCGACATGAGTTGGACAATGAGAAGCTTGGACACTACCTCCAACAAGAGATACCTGGAATCAAGCTACCAGTGACATCAACAAAGATTGGCTATGGGCAAAGTAACCCTACATACTATGTTGACGATGCCGCCAAGAACCGGTACATCTTGAGGAAGAAACCCAGTGGAGCCATCATCTCACCCGTTGCACACCGCGTTGACCGCGAATACAACGTGATCAAAGCTCTGGGTACAGTCGATGGCTTCCCGGTACCAAAAGTATACTGCCTATGCATGGATCCCGCCATAATCGGAACCGAATTCTACGTACGTCATCACATAGCAAACCCACCTTACACCACAACCCACTAACATGCCCCAATAGATAATGGAATACGTTCAAGGCCGCATATTCACCGACGAAGCCCTCTCAGCTCTCCCCAAGCAAGACCGGCGCGCAGCCTGGAAATCCGTAGTCTCCACCTTAGCCTGGCTCCATTCCATCCCCCCCTCCTCCATCGGCCTCTCATCCTTTGGCAAAACAGCAGACTTCTACGCCCGCCACTGCACCACCTTCTCGCGCATCGAAGCCCAGCAAGCCGCCGTTCGCGACGTCACCACCGGCGCACCGCTCGGCCGCGCCCACCCGGATTTCGACGAGATAGTAGACTACATCCGGCGCCATGCACCCACCGGCCACAGCAGCATCATCCACGGCGACTACAAGTTCGATAATATCATTCTGCATCCTACGGAGCCCCGCGTGATTTCTATTCTAGATTGGGAGTTGAGTACCATTGGGCATCCGCTGCTCGATATTGTGTACCTTGTTAATCCGTATTGGAATCGCGCGAGTAAGGTTCAACCGGCTCCTGGGACGAAGGGGGAGGGGCTGAGGGTTTATGATGAGGAGAATCTGGGCGAGAGCGGTATGCCGAGTATGGAGGAGGTGTTGAATGTGTATATGGAGAGGGCGGGGTGGGATCCGAGGGGGGAGGGGTGGGAGGTTGCGAAGGTTTTTCATTTGATGAGGGTGAGTGGTTTTTTTTGCATGTCTTTCACTGTCGACTTTGTTGCGGTCGTGTCTGCCTTTTTTTTGAGGGGAAGAAGATGGTCAACGTGACGAGTTCTCTTGAGGTGTCAGGTTTAAGCTTATGAGAACAAGTCTTGCTAACACAGTGATAGGGAAGCGTGATAAGCCATGGTATTCAAGCCCGTACTATCAGCGGCCAGGCGAGCAGCGAGTTCTCGTACGTGTACTTTAAGAATACCAAGCGTGGACTTGATGAAGCGATTCGCATGGTTCGCGAGATGAAGGCGAAGGAAGATGTAAAAAGCAGTTTGTAAAAAGACAAAGAGGGAAATGCAAAGAAACGACAAGTACATAACGAGGTTCTCTTTCTGATTCTGTAATGTTTTTCACAATATCAGCTGTGTATAGCTAAAGTGTGCGCTGTTCTATATCACTGTTCTCACCCTCTTACCTGTCCTTTCATTCACTATCTCCCTCCCCCCCTCTTCCGCTTCCGCTTCCGCCCTCGCCTTTCCGCCTTCCCCACGGGTAAGCACACTCCTCTCCGTGTTACATCATGCAGCACGCACCACGCATGCAACCCTCCTCTCCTCCTTGCGACCCTCCCCACCCTCTTCCTCGCCATCCCTTCCTCGGGCTCAACGGATACATGCTCTCCGCGCCCGGACGACATCACCCCGAACTCACCTTCCTCTGTCTTCCCCGTCTTCCGCCCCTCTCCACTCCACCATCCCCAAACTCCTCCTTCTCCATCCCACCCCAATCATTCCACTCGCCTCGAGCACAAACCCCCTTTGCCCCCCCACCTGCCACTTCGCACTCCATTCCCCTCCCCCCCCCTCTAACATCCGCACAATGCACCGCATAACGGTGCAACCCACCCCCAAAACCCGCATTCCCAATCGCACCCTCATCCCCCGTAAAGCGGCTAACCCCTCCACTGCCGGTCCATCATCACCCTCCCTCCCCCTCCTCAATTCCAAAAAAATCCTACCCCCGAAAATCCTACCTACAAATGACAAAAACCCACACCAATCCAGACCCTCCACACTCAAGACAAATCCTTTTCTCGTCACCCAACCAGTCCAAGCCAAACCTTTCTGTCAAACTCCGCCTCGGCCAAACAAAAAGCCAAGCCCTTTCCCCCCTACCCCTTATCACACTTACCCCTACCTATAACCCCGCCGTCCTAAAACAAAAGAAAGAAGAAGGCCAAGAACATGAAATCAAGCAAAATTGCAAATCCCATACCCCCCCCTTGTCCACCGTAAGTCTAAAAAAAAGCTTTCGGTGACGTTGCCAGTTTTGCTTGAACAATCCAAGAATCTAGAAGAGAAAAAAAGCGCCAGCCGAGCCCGTGTTGTCGATCACACACACGGGTTTGTGACTTTGATCTTAAAACGCTTACGCACGGATGCCGTGCAACGCTTACATTCTTTTTTTATTACACTTGATCCCTTTTGTACATGGTAAGTACTACGTCAAGTGTCGCAGCCGCAGCTGCATTTGCATGTGATTGTTTTGCTGTATCGATTGTAGGGTGACAAACGGGTGTGTGTGTGTGCAAGTGTGATGGGTGAGTTGGGGGGGGGGGGTTGCAAGTAGTATTTGCAATTTTTTTTGTTTTATTCCTATATTCCTATTTCGAAGTGTTTTTTGCGACGATAGGGTTGGCAGCGTTGTAGAATAGTGTAAGGTGAGGATAGATGGGATGGATAGGTAAGCGCCCTAGTACCGCCGGACGTTACGTGCCCCGTTAGGCTTTTTGCCAAGCCTTCTTTCTTAGGCCAGTTTTGCCGCGTGTCGAGGAACAGTGGAGAATACAAAGATAGGGTAAAGTGTGTAAAGCTGTAGGGCGAGGTGTATCGCAGGGTGAGGGGGGCGACTCATTGTGTGTTTGTGATAAGTGGGGGCGAGGAGGTGTGTGGGAGAGAGGGTTCGGCGGGGCGAGGAGGGTTCGTGGGGCAATTGGAGGGAGGGGGCAACTGTATCGGGATTTCTTGTCTCGAGATTTGTTTCGCACGTGTGTTGCGAACTTTGTAAGAGGGTTGGATTTTTCCGGTTGGGAGGTAAAGGGGGAAACAGATGATGTGTAAATCAAAGTCGTACGAGAAAGTGCTTGGGCTGGGAGCTTGGAATGGCTTGTCGAGTCTTGTTGCCTTGTTTCCTAAGGAAGGCGGCGAGGAAGGCGGCTAGAAGCGCACAAAAGATGGGACAAAACGGAACGTTTTTAAGATCGAAGGGAGATTCTAAGTAGATGGAAAGAGTGTTTTTACAAGATGAAGAGAAAACGGGAAACGGAGAGATAATAACAAAAAAACATGTGTGTATGGGAAGAGGCAACGAAATCGCGCGTATGCATTTTGAGTGTTTTTTTGTCTTTCTTTTTTCTTTCTTTCGAAGGAAAAAAAATTGTAAGGGATGTTGGCTAAATCTAAATCATTTCCATTCCCCATAAGCACGACGACGAACAACCGTACGTCGGGATTCCCGCTCATGTTGAACCTTTTGTGGGATAACCCTCGCCCTTCGTCCATTTCGTTCGCGCGCCAAAGCCAACCCTAACAAACCGGTTCTGATCTGCCTCCCTCACCCCAAACCCACTCAACTTTGGCAAAGAGTTGCCGTTGTATATGAGAGCCGCGGAGAGAGAGAGAGAACCAGGAAAGAGAAAATGAAAATAAAAAAAACACCAGAGGGAATTTGAAGTGTCCAATTTCGCTGCCGTCTCCCCAAATTTTTTAGGATTTCTTGTGACGCCGCGCTATGCAATTGAAAGCAAGACACAAAAGACAAACAGAAGAACAACACAAGGCAAAAGAAGCCGGTGAAAGACAGGAGAAGATGGGGGAGAGAGGATGGGTTTGACAACGAAGTATTGTTTGTCTGATTACAAGAGGTTGTTTTTGCACCAAAAGAATGCGGTCTATAACACCGAAAGATACGCCCACCCAGTCCCGCAAACAAAACGGGGTAGAAGATCTAACAAAAGCTTCGAGACCTGCTGGCGGCTTTAAGAAAAAATGGGAGATGAACAAGGAAAAAGAGAGAGGAAAAGGAGATGGGGAGGTAGAGTGACAGAGAGAGAGATGAAATAGCAACCAACAAGACCGATCGGGGGTATAAAGAGCGTGACTGCTTTTGATCTCACAGAGGAAAAAATGATGTGTCAAAGTACAGCGGGTGAAACGAAGAAAGGATATGACAATGCGCCCAACACAAAAAGAAAACGAGGAGCTAGTGCAGACCTAGTGGTCGGCAATGTCCTCGTCCATGCCTGGGTAGATGATATCTGCCACGTAGATGGCTTGGATGTGTTTGAAGAGGACAAAGGCCCACATGGTGATGACGGCAATGGACAAACCATTGCCGACATACAGCACCGTTTCATCTCTTAGCTGGTTGCCAATTGAGATGGTGGCAATGACGAAACCGGTGTTGGGGAAAACCATGGCCCACCATCCAAGATGGAAGTAGACGGCCCATGAGTTGATGACCTGAGAGTACTTATTAGGAACAGTGCGAGTGTAGAGATATGCATAGAGAACTTACGGCGACGAGAGTAATCATGAAGAACCACATGGCAAGGACCCAGAGGAAGAGCGCAACAACAAGCGCAAGAGTCCTGAGGAGCTTGGCGTCGATGAGGCCATCACCCTGGAGGTCAAAGTCGTCGGGGAGCGCATTGGCCATACCAATGAGAGCCAAGCACGTGAAAGAAGGCGGGCCGACTGCGATAAACATGGCACCTCTGTGTTCACGATCGGGGTATCCGACCTGCATGAGACGACCAATGTAATGCGCATACATGAGAATGGCAACTGTAAAACCCAGACCTTGGCATCCCAAGCCGGCGACCAGAATCGGCATTCTGGCAGACACTGGTTGTTCCTTTGCAATGACCGATGCGATGGTACCAGCAAGCATAATGGGGAAGATGGGCAGGAGCCACGAAGGCATGAAACTGTTGAGCTTGTAGGTGTGGCTGCAGAAGAGGAACGAGTACTGGAAGGAGGCCAGGCAGAAGGTGATGAAGGTGTACGACCAGAATGCGACTGCCATTGTGGTAACAGCCCACGAGCGGTTGGGATGATTGACGTCGTAGGACTCGATGACGTATTTCTGGGTTCCGGTGATAATGGTTGCGATGGACAGGAAGAAGGGGCCGAGGAAGAGACCTTCACGTTCGTGAGAAATGGAGGCCTTGAAGGAGCCCGCGTACTTGGTGAAGCGGAGAACCATGGTCATGGTGACACCGGTGAACAGGAGAAGGTTGAGGATGTAGAAGACGGCACCAATGGTCTTGATGCCGGGGAAAGGATGCGGTTGGATGGCGATAAGCGTACCAAGACCACCAGTAGCCATGGTAAGAGTGTAGTTGGCCCATGTGTAGTGCGCCAGCCTTTGACCGGGAGTGAGGTAAGGCTGGTTTGGGTCCTTCTTTCCAGGAATCTTGGTGTGCTTGTCCCATTCTCCGTGACCATGTCCATCGCCGTGCTTGAGCTTCTCGAGGTCAATGGTATCCATTTGAGGCGCGGGTTCAGGAGCTGGATCCCGAAAGGGGTTTTCTGTCGGTCGGTGCAGCTCTTTTACGTCAACAGGGTAGCCATTAGCGTCCACTTGGGCGGGAAAGTATGCATTGTTGGATGCATAAAGGGGTGCGGGTGTTTGGACCCATGTGTTAGAGCGACTTGTCTCGCCAGAAGGAAGGAAACCTTGGTTCTGGGGAGGGGCAAGAGGGGGAGGAGATGAGTAGTGGTATGGGTTTGGAGGGGGTTGCTGTGGGGGTTGTTGATACTGAAGCACCTGTTGTGGTTGTGGTGCTTGTTGCTGTGCCTGTGGTTGTTGTAGCTGAGGGCTTGGAAACTGAGAGTAGTTGTTCACGTTCTGGCTGTTCTGAGGAGAGTGTTGGGCTGATCGAGGCGCAGGCGGCATGCCATACTGCCCTTGGTTTGGTGGTGTTTGCATCCTAGGACCGGTGGGAAGGCCGTATGGGTTTGACTGACGGACTTGGGCGGGATATTGGGATTGTTGTTGTGGTTGAGGTGATTGTTGTTGTTGCTGTGGTGGGTTTGATGTGAGGGGATTGGATGTGAGAGGATACTGGTCGTTGTTGTAGGTATCCTTTTCGCCAAAGGATAGGCCTTCTGGCTGGTAGCGGCTTTCCATTGCTGTAGTGAGTGAGTGTAGATGTGGTGACCTGCACCGTGGAAGACAGGCAAACGGAAAAAGTCAGCGATAGTGGTGTGAGAGGCAAGGAAAACGAAACGTGTTGTAGCAAGAAGGAGTGGTAAGTAATAAGACGGCCCGTAGGAGTAGGCAGTGCTAGGGACTATAGCAATGTAGGAGCCAGGGCCGGACAAGCTCAACATAGGCTGGATGCTTCTACTATTCGGTCCTGTTTCGAACCACGCGCCGTCCGGGCACTAAAAGCAGCCGGCAGCTAGTCAAAGTGCCCCGAGTCGCCATGGTAGGATTTCAGACATCCTTGGCGTGGGTAGAGTGTTGCGTACGCCCTCCCTGGCATCCCTACTGACACTGGGCCGCTATCAAAGCACGTTCCTCGAGATAACGATCTGAGGTTGCCTTCGCTTCATAATGTGCCAGAAACGGAAACTCCGCCCTGATAGTGCCCGACACGCCAAGATGTTTGAGCTCACAATTGTGAATTGGAGGTCAAGGGCAAGCGCTTGTTGAGGTCGATTGACATCCACTGTGGCTAAGGTACTTACGCATTCCGAGACGTCACGGTCTGAGAAGGACAAATCTTTCTAGGCATGTCATTGCTGTACGGCGGTTCCACCAGTGACGACATGTTGGGAATTGCTTTTGGCGATAGGGTTGTCTCACCCAAATGATATCCTCACGTGCAGGTAGTAAGTAGATGATGGACAGCGCCCGAACGGCCAGCCTGGAAGCAAGAACAGGACCGATAGAATGCGGCCGTGTGGAATAGCGTCCGCGGTGCTACGAGTGTCCCGCCAGCATCAGTGGGGACCCCTATCAAAGGCAGGACGAACAGTGTCCGATTTGGATCACTGTGAGCAGCGGCGACGGCGGCGACGGCGGGCGAATGGGCTCCGTGATGGCCAAGGCGCAGACCCTACCAGGCGGGACCTTGGCAGCAAGAGATTGAGATGCGGCTCAAGTTGTATAGCGACGGCGATTCGCGGGCAAAATAGGGGGGCTTGAAACGGGCGACGAAACGCGTAAAGCGGACCTTACTGTGTCGTCTTTGATGCCAAGGTTCACGCGCCAAACACAGGCCCACTGCTTTCACGCCCGACGCAGCCACTTCCGCGTCTTACAGGATAAGGTTCAGGAAACCTTGGCTTTGGATGCTTGCGTATGCACAACACCGTTGGCTGGCGATCGCCGCCAGGGAAACTTGACGTCGTCTCAAAAGTGCCAGAAAGACGCATCCATGGTCCACTTTCGGGTTTGATCTTGGTTCACATCCAGCCATGTCTTTGGTAGTACGTCGCCTACTTCGGTCCTCGCCCTACAGACTACAAGCGACAAGTGCAGCGGGTCCATCCCCCCCCTCCCCTATGCATGTTCCATACGCCTGTCTATACCTGTAAATTGCGATGGGCGAGCGCGTAGCGTCAATGGGGGGCGGCTAGTCCTACTCGCAGTAAGGTTTATGCTATTGACCTGTGTATCCGCTTCGTCGATGATCAAAAATGGACCGTAGATCGCCGTCGCCTTTGCGCGTCATGGCTGTTCCCGGAAGAATGGAGGCAGATGTGCTCTCTGCGCTGCGCTGCGCTCTGCTTTGCTCGGCAGTGGGTCTCTTTGAGGCGATGAGCGTGGGCAGTGCAGTCAATGGCATTCGCGGCCAAGAGGTAAATTACTACTACTACTTCGGACCGTGACAAGTCGTGGCCACGCTGTCGCTCGTCAATTCGACCCAGCGTATGGGCACGCAATACGAAGCATCCATTTAACTTACCAGTCAATAACAGGCCGTCACACCTGCGAACAGGCGACCCAAAGGGTTTATGGGCAGCAGCGGCATCATCCCTGGACGGTGATCAACATGAGGCTGACAGGCTAGCAGACAACGGGCTGTTCCGTGCCCTTGGCGACAGAGTTCCTTGGGCGCCCTTCCACATGGCAGCCTTGCTGGTGGCCATACGTAGCGCAGCACTGCCCAGCCACCAACAAGTCAGTGTTGTCGCTAGCTACGCTACAATAAATAAAAAAATCTACATATGCAACCCGCCGAGGTCTTGTCTTGTCGTGCACAAAGCCTTTCTGAACCCGATGGTCGCGCCCAACTCCGCCATGCTCTCTCTTCTCGTACCGTCATTTGTCTAGTGTTTCACTGGGCCCTACCCTCCTTAGCCTTTGTTTGCGCAACCGGCCATGAGGGTAGACCCTAGCCGCCAGGGTAGATTAATAAGGTCTGCTCGGTCATTCATTACATAACATGCGGACTAACTCGAACCTTTACCCTCCGGCATACCCTAGCAAATGCATCATATAGAGCCTCTATGTCTCAAACGCGCTCACCATGTAACTTTTCCACGGCTAATCTCCTAGAACCATAGCCAACTCACATAAGAAGAGCCTAGAAAGTCGCACAGCCTAGTGGAGTCATGCAAATACAGTAGCCATGTCCGAATTTATTGACATTGAACACAAAAAAAACTTCACCCTCTATACGACTCGGAGAACCCAATGCCTGCTAATTCCTACTAACCAATCTCAATATTCTACATCTTACTCGCCTCGCGAAGTACCTGCTTGGTCAGCATCTCGCCCGGTTTCTTTTGCTCACTCAGCCGGCCCATTTTCAAAAGGTTTGCTATCATTTCTTCGTCTCCATGATGACTGTTATGCTCGAATTCGGGCTCTTCACCATACGCGACACGTGCTGCATCGACTAGGATCCTAGCTGTCATTCCAAATATCCTGAACGTGCTCAGACTGTCAATTGCTGTAGGCGCAGGTCGAGCATCCCCCCCAGAAGGTTCCATGTTGTCGGCCAAAGGTTCTGCGGATTGCGACGGCTTGCGCAACACTGAGGGCGAATGCGGAATTCTTGGCATATAGAAGTTATGCATCCTCCAGCGTGATTCGTGCCAGTCTGTCCAAGCACCCCTATACCACTTCTCTGGCCTACCGTCTTTTTGCACGGGCGCTGAGCCGTTGCCCTCCCATTCTTTTCGCAGGAAATTATGAAATGGTGCAGTAAAAACGGCGGCTACTTCCTTGGGATCGAGGCGAGGTATGAGCTTCTCTTCCACAGAGGCATTGCTAACCTCAGAAGAAGCAGGGTTGATCGACGACCCACTGTCCGGGCCAAGAAAAGCAACGCAAGGTCGCACTCCAAGTTCCGTCTTCGCCAAATTGGTAGGCAGCTCGCAGAGATGCTCTAACTTGAAGCCCCGAAGTTTTGCTTCATCCAACGGAAGTCCAATCTCTTCGTAAGCCTCGCGGCGGGCGACTTCCCAAGGTGATTCCTCCAGCGTATCTGATTTACCTTGGCAACGTCAGGGCATAGTCGTGATACAGATTAAGTGACGTACCGCCGGGCAGTGCAACTTGTCCCGAATAATTCCGAAGCTGCGCACTCCGCACCGTAAGCACCACCTTGAGCTCGCCATGGCTATCGGGGAAGAGCAGGATGAGTACCGCAGCGCGTCGGGTAAGGGGACAGTTGTGCCATTGCGTCGCCGGCGGTGTGTACTGGCGGAGACGACACAAGGCTTGCTACACGACGCATCAGTACCTGTAGTGGCTGGGTAGTGGGGAGGGGAAATGTTGTAACGCGTCATGCAGCGGTACAACAAAGCGCAGACATACCGCTGATCTCTGGGAAAGCGCCATGCTTGCCATCACCTTGCGTTGAGCAAGCCATGTTGTTGGTCTCATGAGAGATGACCAGTGGTTGTAGCGTGCGCGAGACGTCAGTGGGATTGATGTCATATGCCGAGGCTATCAATACCTAGGCGAAATGCAGGAACCTCATGGTAACCCGACAACGTCTAGCCGACCATAGTATTAAGTTTGGAACGGGCCCGTCAAAGACATTCAACTGCCATCATTGCACATCACCGGCACGCGGCGGGAGTAGTAGCATAACTTTTGAACAACTTTCATACAATTGAATCGCATCTCTATATGAAAGGAAACTCCCAATCGTTATCATCCGCATGCGTAGCCATGGAAGATTGCTGCAGATCCCCCCACGTATGCATACGTCGACAACTTGCAGCAGCTCCTCGAGGACATAGGAAAGTAACATGAAATTGCAGAAGAAGACCCATCCGTCAACTAAGCATCGTAAGTCTATCATATGCAGACATTCTTTTAGGGAAATCATTGCGCACATGAGAGACCAACGCCAAGATGCCGCGATGTAAGGACGGCTGCTCGTCCCACCCCGAACCACTTTTGAACCAGACCAAACAGAGAGCGCCACCTGGCCTTGCAGGCGTGCTCGAATTAGAAGACTACCGTCTCTACACCGTTACGCCACCTGGACCGCAGGAGGGGTAGGGAGAGACGGTAGGATGAATGCAGTATAGGAACAGCTTCTTAGATGAGGTCTGTGAGTACCGTTAGCAGCCGAACTTAAAAACATACTTGAGTTGGGCAGAAACTTACCAGCCACGTTCATGGGCATCTCCTCGATCTGTGTGCTGTAGAACTGCTCAATTTCGCGCATCATGCGGACATCGTCGGCAGTGACGAAGTTGATGGCAACACCCTTACGTCCGAAACGTCCACCACGACCGATGCGGTGGATGTAGTTCTCACGGTTGGCGGGAAGGTCGTAGTTGATGACAAGGGAGACCTGCTGGACATCGATACCACGGGCAAGAAGGTCAGTGGCAATGAGGACACGGGAAGATCCGGAACGGAACTCCTTCATGATGACATCACGCTGGGCCTGGTCCATGTCGCCGTGCATGGCAGAGACAGTGAAGTCACGGGCAGTGAGCTTGTCGGTGAGCCAGTCGACCTTTCTGCGGGTGTTGCAGAAGATGACAGCCTGGGTAATGGTGACGGTTTCGTACAAGTCGGACAGAGTGTCGAGCTTCCAGTCCTCCTTCTCGACAGCGATGTAGAACTGCTTAATACCTTCAAGAGTAAGCTCGTCCTTCTTGACGAGAATGCGGACGGGGTCGCGCATGAACTTGGTGGTGACCTCGAGGACGTCCTGGGGCATGGTGGCGGACAGAAGGACAACCTGGGTGGACTGGGGCAGAAGCTGGAAGATGTCGTAGATCTGCTCGGTGAAACCGCGAGACAACATCTCGTCGGCCTCGTCGAGGACAAACATCTTCATGTGGTCGGTCTTGAGAACGCGACGCTGGATCATGTCGTGGACACGGCCGGGAGTACCGACAACGACCTGAGGGCCATCCTGGAGGGCCTTCATGTCGTCGCGGACACTGGTACCACCAATGCAGGCGTGGCACTGGATTTCCATGAAGTCACCAATGGCAACAACAACCTTCTGGATCTGCTGAGCGAGCTCACGGGTGGGGGCGAGGATAAGAGCCTGGCAGGCCTTGACGCTGGAGTCGATCTTCTGGAGGGTGGAGATGGAGAAGGTAGCCGTCTTACCGGTACCGGACTGAGCCTGGGCGATGACATCGTTTCCTGGAGAGTGTGTCAGTTGCAAGTTTGGATTGTGGTGCGGGCGGTGTGAATTGTTTGTGGAGGGGCAAACTCACCCTTGATGACGGGCATGATGGCGCGCTGCTGGATAGCAGAGGGACGCTCGAAACCATAGGCGTAGACTCCACGGAGGAGCTCAGGCTTCAGGTTCATGTTGTCGAAGGAGTCGGTGACTTCATCGTAGTTGGACTCGATCTGGCCTGCGCGGGGTTGGTTAGCGTGCGCTCTAGGGTTTTGCAAGTGAGGCGGTTATCGCTATCGTCGTCGCTGTTGCACTGCGGGGGAGGAGGGCGCATCTTCGCACAGCAGCGGCGGCGGCGTCGAAACCTCTTGGGGAGAAGTAGAAAAAACTTACCCTCGGGCACATCCTCAAGACCTTTGTCAGCCATGATTGCGACTGGGGAAGAGCGACTACTGGTGCTGGACCGTAGTCGAAAAGTTGCTCGTGGCGGGGTTGAAGCGGGGGGATCCTCTGGATGCCGCCGCTGGAAAAGAGTGGTTGTTGTGGAAGAAAAGACTAGATACCAGATCCTCTGCGCGAGAATCAAGTGGGTATCTAGGAATGAAGAGTGTCTTTTGTGTTGTGGTGGATTTGGTGATGATGAGGGACAGAAGGTGGGTGGGCAGCCGACGTTATAAGCAGGAGCCACCTGAGATTTTTTTCCAGGTGCTAGCGCCAAAATCTCGCTAAGACCAGCCAAAATCCTCGTCGATGCTTGCAGACGTACGAATACACTGGGCCTAGTCGCCCGCAAAGGATTGTCTAGAGTACTATTATCCAAGGCCCGCCCCCAGGCCTGATCAATGACTCCTTCCTGATTCCCCGTGATTGCATCTGAACCTCGGTTTGCGCCCGTGAAGCCGTCTGCGCAGCGTTATACACCAAGCATCGTTCCACGCTTTTCTTCACAATGGCCCCCGGCATCCTAGACCCCCCTGGCATCGCGACTGCCGAATCACGGCCCTCGAAAAAGCTCAAGACGTGTGCAGTGGCAACAGCCGACACTGACGATGAGGATGTCGCCGTCGCCGCCACTGCAGTCCCCTCGCATCCCTTGGGCATCAAGCCGGCCGGCAACGCCTACACTGCCCGCGAGAACATCAAGTCAAACTGCGGCCTCTTTGCCAGCTTACCCGATGAGCTACTGAGCCACATCCTTGAGTCATTCGATGCTGATGTCCTGGTACGCCTGGGCAGTACCTGCCGTGCCCTCTATGCTTACACCAGACTGGACGAGTTGTGGAGAGCCTTATTCGTCAAGTAAGTATCAACCACGGGTCGACACATGCATGCTCTGTTTTCTTCGCCTCTTGTCATTTTCTCCATTACACCGCCACCATAGTTTCCATCAGATGATATGCAGGAAGGATTTGTTCCTTGCAGGCTGTCCGAGCACGTTGTCTGAGCACGCTGCACGACCTTTGTCTGCTATGACTGTCCTTGGTCGCCTTATTGCCATACTGCTGTAGCCTTCGGAATCACAAGCCCAGTGCGCGAGTAGCGGTATGACTCAACTCGTCAAGTCTCCAGCTGTGGACTGGGCATTTTGCCTGTTTCTTTGTCTATTCTCACATTTCCTCTACTCGGGATTGGATCGAGGTCGACCGTTGGCGGTAAGCGTCAACGATTACTGAATCCGACGGTCTGATTGGCTATCCCGTATGAGCTAGCGTGTTTCTTACTTCGAGCCACTTTCTTCTAGTCAAACACTGCCAATTATCCAGCGTATGCAATAGCTAATTTGCCAATAGTTCTCCGGCCGACGACTTCGAATGGCGCGGAACTTGGCGAGCGACATATCTCAAGATCCCTAAGGAGCATGTCACCTCCATTCCCTGCAAAAATCTCTTCTCAGACACTCTCTACCGCCCGTTCCAATGTGCACATACCCCTCTCAATCTCTATGCACTCAACATTCCAAAGCAAAACGAGATAGCTCGGCTGTCAGATCTGACCTACGAAGAGTATGCAGAAGCTTGGGTAAACAAACCCTTCATCCTCACCACACCTGTCAAGCAATGGCCCGTGTACGGTACCTGGACACCAGAGTACCTGGTCGAGAAATTCCCAGAAACAAAGTTTAGAGCTGAAGCAGTCGACTGGCCAATGAAAAAGTACATGTCATATATGCACGACAACGCTGACGAATCGCCCTTGTACCTTTTCGATCGCGCATTTGCAGACAAGACTGGCATCGACATATCAGCACCACCCCACTCCAAAGAAGCAGCATACTGGAGTCCCACATGTTTTGGCGACGACCTCTTTGGCGTTCTAGGCGAACACCGCCCAGACTGCCGCTGGATGATTATGGGCCCGAAGCGCAGTGGCTCGACATTCCACAAAGACCCCAATGCTACATCAGCATGGAATGCCGTTCTCACAGGTAGCAAATATTGGCTCATGTTCCCCGCTGGCCCAGGCATTGAACCGCCCCCAGGCGTCATTGTTTCAGAAGACCAGTCCGAGGTTACTTCCCCACTAAGCATTGCAGAGTATATGCTAACCTTTCACGAACTCGCCCGCCAAACTCCAGGCTGCAAAGAGGGTATTTGCTATGCCGGCGAAGTCTTGCATGTGCCCTCTGGATGGTTCCACCTGGTGCTCAACCTCGAAGATAGTCTTGCGTTGACGCAGAACTTTGTCCCAAGGAAGAAGCTACCTGATGTCTTGGGCTTTCTCCGCGACCAAAAGGCAGAAGTCAGTGGTTTCAAAGAGGACGTCTGCGATAGGGCTTATGAGCTTTTTGTAGAAAGGCTGGGTGAGCAGCATCCCGATTTGCTCGAGGAAGGTCTTGCAGAGTTGGAGAAGATGAAGACGAAGAGTAGAGGGAAATGGGAGCAGCTAACAAAGGGGGATGGTGAAGCGGAAGAAAGTGGAGGCTTCAGCTTTGGCTTTGGCTTTGGCGGAGATGATGATGATGCTGATATCCCGTGAACACTTGAGAAAACGTAAAGTTCATTGAATTTGCAAACGAAAAAAGATCATATGTCTGCGTATTACTATGCGATTGGGTATCGTTCCTTCATGAAATCGTAAATCATAAACGCCATATTTCGTTCATCAACGTGTCCTCTTCCTCCCCCCACTCACTTTGCGTGATTGATAATCTCAGCATACATATCCTCTGGCACCTTGCCCGCAAAGCTCATAGCCACACCTATAATCTTCTGAGCATTCAAGCCAGGCAAATTACGCAGAATAGTGTTGGGACTGTAACGCAGAATGTTTAGCATGCGGTGGACAGAAAAGAAGAGAAGGGAAAAAAAAGGCCATCTTACCTCGGACTGGTCAGAATATCCGCACGAATAACAACCAACTGAGCAACAATGCACAAGATGTTCAGATGGGGACCATAGGCAAAAAGAAAGTCCCAGAGCTGCAAAACCTCAGGCAGAGGCGGCGTACACGCACACATGGTCAACACAGAGGCAAAAGCATAGATCCTGGCCTCCATATGGTGCGCCATGAGGTACTCGTAGAGCTTGGGATCCACAACCTCGAGCACCCTATCCACGAGCGCCAATCCCTTGTGCACACCCTCCATGGATCCGCGCACATAACCAGGACACTCTTGCGTAATCAGCTTCTCAAAGCCCGTAAACGCCTCGACCTCGCTGCGGGCGGCGTACAGAAAAGGTCCGCACAACACATTCATGCCCTGCACATAGCCAATCTGCTCCGCGTCATTCGTCGTCGACGCCTCTGTGCGCGCGCCGCCTGTCGCAGAGTGCCGCGACATCATGGTCGATGTGTCTGGGCTGCCGCCGAACTCTGATAGCGTGGGGGGCGACTGCCACCCATTGACACGTGCCTCGTGCGCATCGTTGAGCCGCCACGCCACGGCGTTGAGGACTCGCGTAATGCTGTTTTGCGTGACGCGGCGCCGGAAGAGGGGATCGCCTTGGAAGGTGCGGAACGTGTCGTTTTGGATTTTGGCGTGTGCGGGCGAGGCGCCTTGTCGGACGAGGTCGAGGTACACGTCTGTACGGAGCGGCGGCGCGTTGAGCAGGATCAGCCAGATGTAAATGCGTAGTTCCGACTGTTTTGATGGCGAACATGACGTCGAATTAGCCTTTTTAATTTTGCGGATTCACAAGAGACACACAAGGGCTCGAGCGCCTTTTTTTCTCCATGCTTTGCCCATGCATGTAGCCTATGCCATTGTTGTGGCTCTTTATTTTTCGTGGGGCTGGGGAAAGGGGCGCGCGCAGAGCGAGCAGGCGGAGTAGCAACATACCATGCCCTCGCTGTTTGCGGGAATGCCTTTGGTCAGGATTGTGTAACGTAATTCCTGGAGGTACTCCTCCGGGTCGCTTGCAGAAGCTCCCTTGAGGAGCAGCATGTCCAAATTCGTCATTCTTGGAAGTGAAGGGGGGGTGTGAAGAGCGTTTGCAAGCGATTGGACTCGACCCGTGTTTGGAAGTTTGGTTTGGCGTTTCTCGCCTGCCAGCAAGCAATCGTACTACGTAGTAGTCACGGCCTTGGCGCGCCGCCAGCCTCTCATACGCGTTTCGAGGGTCTCATGTTCCGTTCCGTCTCTGTTTCGTTCTTGCTGTACAGACGGAACGTCTTGTTCTGCCTGCAGTAAGCTTGGTTCTTCTTGTCCTCGATGCTAAGGCTTTTTGCCAATTGAAATCTGGAATGCAAAAACAAAAAAATGGAATATACTATATCGTCGGGTCTTGGCCATACATATGTCACCTCCACATGCAATGACAAATTCCGTAACAATACCAGCTGCCCTTAAAAGACTACCAAGCCCACCTATGTAATCATGTTTTACCCATGTCAAGTGTATTCCTAATCCCACCCCCAAAGCCAAGCCAGAATTCCAAAAAATCCACAAAACTAAGAATAGGCCGGAAGCAAAGTCGAAAACGACAAACCAAGCCTACAAACATCCACACTGCCCAGCTTCCTTCGTGTTGCAAATGAATGACTCTGCATCCTCGGAGCACACTCTCCAAATGGTCTACCTGTTTATGTAAATATCAAACCGTTATCGCGAGCCGCCTGCACATGTACGCCACAAATGCTTCACCAAGACTAGGCGTTTACTTTTTACTCGCACCGTGAAACCACTACCTATGAGACAGACTCAACCTCAAATTTTTTTTTCCTCCTCCGTCTTACTCCGAGCATGCGGCTTATCGTGTTCTGGAGCCGCGGAGCGGGTGAGCTCCGCGCTGGCCGAGTCTTGTCAGTAACTGTGTCAGATATGGAGATGTGCAACTGAGCATTATTTTCACAAAAACTTGATGAATGAGTATCTAATACATCACTCCGGATTTTTATGGCACATACGACCATCGGCGAAGTATTGCACCGGATCCCGTTCGCTCTCCACACGTTAAATCTTCGACCGGCGGACTAGTAGTCAGGTGGGTGACCACTGGCGAATCCCCGCTGTTGTATGTTTTTTT